GTGCAAGTGATGGAGACGAGCTTGAGGGTGCTTGGCAAGGAGCATCCTGACACGCTGACCAGCATGAACAATCTCGCCTTTACTTTGAAATCCCAAAGCCGAAACCAAGAGGCCCTCGCTCTACTAGAAAAATGCTTTCAGCTGTGCAAAAGTATCCATGGCGAACAATATCCACACACAGAATTGGTACATGCTACATTAGGTAAATGGCGGGCAGAGAATAATAGCAAGGTAGATCTGTAATGTCGTCTTAGTCTGTAGTATACAAAGTAGAATGGTGTAAATCAGGTGAATTAAGCATGAACATAACATGTGACTGTCTAATAGTAGTGGGCTCCACAACACGTTATAGAGACAGCCGGTCCGCTCACACAGAAAGGACCGATTGTGCGCTTTGGACTAGGCGCTCGAGTCATGTTCAGGCTTGGCTAGCTCAGCGTAAGTCATGCGTCCTGTGCAGCGGCTATACATTACAGCTAAGCTGCTTTGAGCCGGGTGCTCGGATCGTCCTCATCTGTCTATTCTAGCAGGCGAAATTGAAATCAGCACAGAAGCGCCCTTACGTCTTGAATAGAAGCACAAATCTCGGGATAGGACAATTATATGTTGAGCTATAAGCTGGCAGGTTCCTACAAGGATTAAAGAACTTCTAACGGACTTATTGCCAACCAAAGTGTAGTGGTTATTCTCTGCTCTAAGCAAGCCATTGTATTGCACTGTAACGTACCTGACGGGTGAGTCGCCCATATGGGTGAGTCGCCCACTCTGCCAAGACCCCACCAAAACTCAACCCTCTCACACAATGCCACAACAACAACGCGAATCAGGACCTTTAAAGGAAGCTAGAATACAGCTTGCGCTTCAGGCTATCAAAAAAGACGCGACACTCTCCCTGCGACGCGCTGCAGCCCTCTATAACGCGCCATACAGAACACTACGCGATCGACACGCTGGACGACCTGCACAAGCAGATTATATGCCTAAATCAAGGAACCTAGACAAGAACAAGGAGGAGGTGATTGTTCAGCATATACTTGACCTAGACGCGAGAGGGTTTGCACCGCGGCTAGCTGCAGTGGCTGATATGGCCAATTCTTTGCGCAAAGAGCGTAATCTGGGCCATGTTGGCATAAAATGGCCCAACACGTTTGTCAAGCGCCGCCCTGAGCTCCAAGTGAGGTTCAATCGCAAGTAGGACTACAAGCGAGCCCTCTGTGAGGATCTAGAGATTATAAAAGGCTGGTTCCGCCTTGTAGAGAATACTAAAGCCAAGTATGGCATCCAGGACCAAGACATGTACAACTTCAATAAGACTAGGTTCATGATAGGCCAGATATTGACAGGAGCAGTTGTTACGGGCTCAGAGCGTCGAGGGCAGCCAAAGGCAGTCCAGCAGGGCAATCGGGAGTGGACAATAGCTATCCAGGGCGTAAATAGTACAGGATAGGCCATTCCACCCTTCATCATCTTTCAAGGCCGCAACCACCTCTCTGCCTAGTACAAAGAGGATACAATACCCTATAACTAGGTTATTGCAGTCTCTAAGAACAGCTAGACCACAAACGAGCTTGGATTCCAGTGGCTACAGGACTTTAAAGCCTATACAGGGAGGCGTGCTGTAGGAGGGTACTAACTGCTAATTATTGATAGCTATAAGAGCCATAACTCCCTCCAATTCCAACAATACTGCAAGGAGAGGAAGATTATCACACTCTGTATGCCTCTACACTCATCACACCTCCTACAGCTACTTGATGTGGGTTGTTTTGCGCTGTTAAAGAAGGCGTATGGGCGCCAAGCCAAAGATCTCATGTGCAACCAGATCACCCATATCTTAAAACTTGAGTTCCTGCCATGCTTTAAACGTGCGTACAATGCAGCAATAACCCCAAGTAATACCCAGGGAGGGTTCAGAGGCGCTGGATTGGTTCTATTTGACCCAGAACGGGTTATAATAGGCCTTGACGTTTAACTGCGCACCCCATCACCACTTCCTGTCTCCAATGAGCCCTAGCAGTCCTGTACACCCCAGAACACGCTAGAATTTAGGTCTCAATCGAAGCTAGTTCAAGAGAAGATTTAAAAGCATACAGATAGCTCGCCTTCCTCTATTGTAAATGCGCTGGAAAAGCTCTCAAAAGGCGCTGAGATGATGGCGCATTCGCTAGTGTTAGTGCGCAAGCAGGTTTCTGAGCTTCAAGATGCCAACAAGGCTGCAACACGACGTAAATTACATAAAAGAAAGCGTTTACAGCAGGAGGGGACTCTAACAGTTAAAGAGGGGGTATAGTTAACTACTCTAGAGGAGTTTGCAGCGTGTGGTAATAGTAAACGTGCGAAGAAGACAGTGCACACTAATAAAGGTCAACAGACTGTAAGACGCTGTAAACAGTGCTAGGAGACAGGGCACAACTCGCGCACATGTTAAAAGAGATCATAGATAGCTCTTCTATACTGTAACACATTAAATTACCATTTGCAGGCCCATAATGGGGTGTTGCGGGCCAAAATAGAGTAGAGTTTTGGTGGGGTCTTGGCAGAGTGGGCGACTCACCCATATGGGCGACTCACCCGTCAAGTACGTTAAGCATAGCATATTCCTAAGAAGCTATTAGGTAGAACTAGATTGTACGACAAGAAGTTGCTATTCCAAGAATATCTGTTCCCTAATCTAACTGTAAATTTTGTTGTGCAGAGCAGTAGCTGTGGCGTCTCGCTACGCAGGGTGTCTCGCCACGCAGGGAGGGACGTTAAAGGGAGCGTTTCGTCCCCCTCCGCTCCGAGACTTTTTTGTGGGGAGCGGGCCCTCACGACGACCAGCTTTGCGCCCAATATTCACGTCGCCCGCCGCCCGCCGCCCACCGCCGCCCGTTTTGTCTTGCACACTTCGGAGCCCCCTTTTTCAATGCTGCAGGCAGACACATCGCCCTCGTGTTTGCTGTGTCTCATGCGCTGGCCCGAGGGTTGAGCGCCGCACTCTGTCCCATTCCGTGCGCTGTGCCATCTTTCCCTCCCACACACCGCGCGCTTCTCCACCGCGCCCTGCCACCGCGACCACCGCGGTCAGCGACCACCGCGATAGCGACCACTGCGATAGCGACCACTGCCATCAGCCACCACTGCGATCAGCCACCACTGCGATCAGCCACCACTGCGATCAGCCACCACCGATCAGCCACCACCGATCAGCCACCACCGATCAGCCACCACCGCGCGACCGCGACCGCACCCGCGCGAGCATGAGCCACGGCGACTTTCTCTCGTTCGAAGAATTCAACCGCCGCGCGGCCACGCCCCACACGCACACGACGCCCGCCGCCGTCGCCATCGCCGCCGTCGCCGCCGTCTACGCGCTCTTCACCTTCCTCGACTTCCTCGGCTACCCGGTCGGCTTCTGGATCCGCCGCTCGCTGCACGCCATGGCGCGGGAGGTTGTGCGCGCGGCGTCGCCCGCGCCCTCGCTCGACTCGCAGGCCAGCGACGACTCGGCGCACAGCGGCGGCCTCATGGGCAATCTGTTCGGCATGGGCGCGAGCGTCCTGTCCAAGGGCGTGCGCGGCGTCGCCAGCGCCCTGTCGCGCGGCCCCAGCGACGTGCCGCCGGGGCTGGGCAACTACGACAACTCGTGCTACCAGAACAGCGTCATCCAGGGCCTCGCGGCGCTGCCCTCGCTGCGCAGCTACCTCGAGAAGACCACGGCCGAGCACGACTCGCTCACGGCCGACACCACCAACGGCGCCCTGCTGGAGCTGATCAGCCAGCTCAACGACCCCGGCCAGCGCGGCCGCCACTTCTGGGTCCGCGGGACGCTCAAGTCGATGAGCACCTTTACCCAGCAGGACGCGCAGGAGTACTACTCGCGCATCCTCGACGAGCTGGACACGGAGCTCAAGAAGGCCAGCAGCAGCGCGAAAGAGGAAGCGGGCGGGACGGCGGCGACTGGCGAGCAGAGCGGTGCGGCCGCCAAGCAGCCAGCGGCCGCCAAGCAGTCAGCGGCCGCCAAGCAGCCAGCGGCCGCGCCGATGCCGCTCGAGGGCGCCCTGGCGCAGCGCGTCGGCTGCACCAGCTGCGGCTACTCCGAAGGGCTCTCCCTGATCCCGTTCAACTGCATCACCGTCTCGCTCGGCCGCCGCAACGGCTACGACGTGCGCGAGCTGCTCGACGACCACACCGACCTCGAGTACATTGACGGCGTCGAGTGCTCCAAATGCACGCTGCTGAAGCTGAAGCGCACGCTCGTGCCTGTTGTGGAGAAGCAGGGCCGCGACACGCCCTTTGGCGCCCGGCTGCGCCTCGTCCAGGACGCCCTCGACGACGAGGACCTCAAGGACGCCACGCTGATCAAGACGCTCAATATCCCCAAGAAGAACTGGGTCAAGAGCGAAAAGTCGAAGCAAGTCGTCGTCGCCCGCGCCCCAAAGTCGCTCGTCTTGCACGTCAACCGCAGCATCTTCGACGAGACCACCTTTGCGCAGTACAAGAACAACGCCGGCGTGCGCTATCCGTCGACCCTGGACCTGGCGCGGTGGTGTCTTGGCACGGCGCCGAGCAGGACCCACAAACCGGACCTCGATCCCAAGACGGACGCGTGGCCGCGCGACCCCAAGGTGTCGATGCTGAGCGCCGGGGCCGACGCGCCCTCGCCGTTCCAGTACCGCCTCAGAGCGGCCGTGACCCACTTTGGCACCCACGGCAACGGGCACTATGTCTGCTATCGCCCGCACCCCCGGCGTGTCGAGGAAAAGGACGACACCGAGCCCAAGGACGCAGACGAGGGTCGGGCAGCCGCAGATCCAACAGCAGACGCGAAGGAGGATCCAACAGCAGACGCAGAGGAGGATCCAACAGCAGACGCAGAGGAGGATCCAACAGCAGACGCAGAGGAGGATCCAACGGCAGACGCAGAGGAGGATCCAACGGCAGACGCAGAGGAGGATCCAACGGCAGACGCAGAGGAGGATCCAACGGCAGACGCAGAGGAGGATCCAACGGCAGACGCAGAGGAGGATCCAACGGCAGACGCAGAGGAGGATCCAACAGCAGATGCAGATCCAACGGCAGACGAAGCGGACGTAGATTCAACAGCAGACGCAGATCCAACAGCAGACGCACAACCCGATGTCGACAACGACGAGGAACAACAGCAACCCCCCTCGGAGCAATGGTACCGCTTCAGCGACGACACCGTGTACGCCGTCTCCGAGCAAGAAGCACACCAGGGCAACGTCTTCATGCTGTTCTACGAGCGCATCGACGACGCTCCCCCGAAAGCACCCGCAACAGAACCACCAGCTGTCGTCGCTGCAGCACCCCTCCCGGCGGCCGACACATCGCAAGCCGCCAAAGACACACAAGCAGCCATCCGTGTCGCGTTACCAAGCGACGACGACGAGGCCTGCACCCCCCCGGGCACGACGAGCCAGGCTACACCACCACTCCCGTCAGACGAGGCCCGCGCAGCTGTCGAGGACACGCGCGATGCACGTGCCGATGCCAAAGCAGAAGCAGAAACAGCGCCCACGCCCACGCCCACACTCCCTAAACTCTCCCCACACACCATGCGCACAGCGGGCAATGCGTCGACGCGCAACTCCGGCAGTCGCGCGAGTCTGCAGCTCGTCAGCGCCTCGTAGCGCCGTTGCTGTGCGAGATGACCGTGCTTGGCGTTGGGGGTTGATTCAACTTGATGGGCTGCAGGAACATTGCTCAATCTTCTGTCTTCCATTTTCTGTGTTTGCGTTCTGTGAGTAGGAGCGGGGCGGCGTTGGGCGTGTATACTGCATGGCACGGCACGGCACGGCATGGCATTCATATTGTAGTATTCAAAAGCATGGTGACGCGCAGAGTGTGTTTCGTTGGCCGACGTCACCGAATGAGTGTCAACACCGTCAAACGTCCCATCCGTGAAATTCCCCATCTTGTCGACGACGTGATGTCGGGGTTCGCAAGGCTGATGTTGATGTTAGCGGCTTGGCCTTTGTCCGTGCCGCGCGCTCCTTCCGCCTTGGGTACTTTGTACAGCACAGCCCAGCCCTGTTCCTGCAGCTGCTTACTTTGACCACACTCGCTCTGCTCTCTTCGTCTCTATTTCCGCGTCAGGCACGCATCCGTGTCCCGTGACGCCTCAACTCAGGCCTTGGAAACGACGCTACATCACGGCCAGTGACCGGCGGGAAGCATCCAGCCTTGCAACGGCCGACGTCGATGCCGGCTGCGCGTGCAATCTCGCCGAGATCAACGGGTCGCCGAGCGCGGTCGAGACTCGGCTGGCGACTGGCGTCGGGCGGTGAAGACCCTTCAAATGGTAATGTGCGGGCTGAGATGACGTCGTCTTGGGTTTTAGTCTGCGACATGGAAATGTCCACACCCGTCTAGTCTGTACCATGCCCACGCTCGTCGAAGCTTCGGCCGCTGTTGTTGATTTGTAAGGTGCAATTGTGCAAGACTGTTGTAGACGATTTCTAGTGTCATTGCTTTTCTCATTTATAGTCCTCTCGCTCAATTTGTAGACTCCAGATACCCCATAGACTACTTCCACTTCACGACAACCTCACGAGCATTTTCCACATCACCATCATCATGGCATCCTCACCTAGATACGAGTCCGACTCCACGGATGCGTCTCCCCTGGGCCAGCCGCTCAAGTTCGAGTTCTCCGGGCGCACGGCGCCTAACCGCTTCCTCAAGGGAGCCATGACGGAGCGCATCTCCAGCTGGGATCCCGAGAACCTCGAGGCGCGCGGCGTGCCGTCCAAGAACCTCGTCAACCTCTACAGGAGGTGGGGCGAGGGTGGCATCGGCCTCATCCTCTCCGGCAACATCATGATCGAGTACGACCACCTCGAGGCCGCGGGCAACCCCATCATCCCCCGCGAGTCCGGGTTCTCCGGCGAGCGCTTCGACGCGTTCAAGGAGATGGCGACCGAGGCCAAGAAGCACGGCTCGCTGTTTGTCGGCCAGGTATCCCACCCCGGCCGCCAGGTCGAGTCGCGCATCCAGAAGAACCCCGTGTCCGCCAGCGACGTGCAGCTCGAGGGCAACATCATGGGCATGACGTTTGAGAAGCCGCACGCCGCGACTGATGACGACATCGCCCGCATCACCGAGGGCTTCGCGCACGCAGCCGAGTACCTCGAGAAGGCCGGCTTCGACGGCATCGAGCTCCACGCCGCCCACGGCTACCTCCTCGCGCAGTTCCTCTCCCCCACGACAAACCAGCGCACCGACAAGTACGGCGGCTCGCTCGAGAACCGCGCCCGCCTCATCGTCGAGATTACAGACGCGATCCGCGCCCGCGTCTCACCCAGCTTCGTCGTAGGCATCAAGCTCAACTCCGTCGAATTCCAGGACAAAGGTTTCAACCCCGAGGAAGCCGCGCAGCTGTGCCGCATCCTCGAGTCCCACGCATTCGACTTCGTCGAGCTGTCGGGCGGAACATACGAAAAACTTGCGTTCGGGCACCAGCGCGAGTCGACCAAGAAGCGCGAGGGTTTCTTCCTCGAGTTCGCAGAGGCCATTGCGCCCGCGCTCAGCAAGACGCGGACCTACATCACCGGCGGCTTCAAGACGGTCGGCGCAATGGTGCAGGCGCTGAGCGTCGTCGACGGCGTTGGGCTCGCGCGTCCGCTGGCACAGGAACCCCGGCTCTGCGCCGATATGCTGGCTGGCCGCGTGTCGGGCGCGATTAAGCAGAGCCTCGACGAGGAGAACTTTGGCTTGACCAATGTCGCGGCGGGCACGCAGATGCGCCAGGTTGGCAAGGATCAGACGCCGCTTGATCTGAGTCGCAAGGAGAACGTCGACGCCTTCATGAAGGATATGGGTGCCTGGGGCGCGAAGATGGCGGGTGATGGCGAGATGCGGAACTATGGCTATGTCGATATTGAGAGCGCGCAGGCCGTGCCGTATGGGACTGCATCGGTGTAGGCTGGGCAACGAAAGAAAAGAAACCGTAGAGCTAGATCGCGCGCAATACAATCTAATCAGATGACACCTTCTCCCTGTGCTGCTGCTGCAGAGTGGTCCTGCTGTGCTGTGCTGTGCTGTGCTGTGCTGTGCTGTAGGTGTCGTCGTGCCGGTGCTTATCATCAACGCTCCGCGATGCGCGCAAAAGAACTCCCGTCTTGGACGTCAAGTACCCCGTCAGCACTGGAGATACATTACGCACGCAGCGCACGCGCGCGACGGCAAAAAAAAGCGCCAGAATAAGAACAGGATAGGAACAAGGTCAAAAACAAAAATACCCAACAACATCCAGTCAAGTGTGTGATGCACGCGCACGAGCAAAAAAAAGATATGTTGGATGACCTAACCAGGGGTCGCTGATATGCTGTTAGGACTCGAACGTGCGCTATCTCTGGTAGAATTGTACTTACAACCTGGAATCTCTTGATTACTTATGTATCGTAGTCAAGCGCCTTGCCATTGGGCCATTAGGCCAGTTTTCACTGATTTGATGAGCATGTGTTCGACTTTGTAGTATATATCCTGATTATAAATATGATGTGGCGCGACAGGGGTGGGATTGGATAATTTTTTAGGTCGGCGGGCGGACCTGCTGGGCTCTGGTAAGCTCGGCCATAAGCTGGGTAAGGTGCTTTCCAGCCACCCGTACTTTCCAGCCACCCAACCACTTCGTGTCACCATTAATCAACGTCTTTTTTTCCCACCACCACGTGCTCAAAATAGATGCCTATGAGACTGCTATACAATTTGCTATTGCTGATCTTATTTCTAGCGTTGAAAAAAGCCAGCGCGCAGCATGTAAGAAGTGGGGTGTTCCCTGATTGTCGCTCCAAGAGCGCCTTAATAGCAGCAAACCTGACGCAATAGCTCACTCCCACCAACAGCAATTGACTCCAGAGCAAGAGGAATTTCTTATACAGTAGATTCTGGATGAGGACTCACGCGCACAGCCTCTATCTCACCCTCGTGTGCGTGAGATGGCTACCCAAATCCTCCGTTTGAATAGCGACACCCACCTACTTGGCAGGTAATAGATACCTTAGTTTCTTGCACGCAATCCACGTGTTGCCTCTATAGTAGGGAGGGAGATTAAGAGCGCGCGTACTACTGCTGCCAATTACAGCACTATAAACAAGTGGCTGGAGCTATTTGAGCGCACCTGAAAGATGCTGGGTATACCCTATGAGAACGTGTGGAATTTTGATGAGACTGGCGTTGCACTTAGTGTATGTACCAACCAGCAGGTTATTGCAGATGCGAGGAAGAAGAAGGCTTACAATAAATCTCTAGAATCGCATGAGTGGGTAAGCGTACTGGAGTGTGTGAGCGCAGTGGGTAAGAAGCTATAGTGCGTTGTCATCTTCAAAGGCGTACACCTCTAATTAACGTGGTTTCCCTTAGTTAACACACCTAACTAGCTATACACAACCTTAATAAATAGCTAGAAACCAAATGCTATTAAACTTGAGTGGTTAAGGTGTATTTTTATACCAAATACTTCACCATCAGGCAGTGGCCACCAGCTGCTTATTCTTGATGGCCATAGCTCCCATACACCTATCGACTTTATGTAGGAGTGCAAGGAGAATAAGATACACCTTCTCTACCTCCCTGCGCACGCGTTGCACCTTCTTCAGCCTCTAGATCTTGCTCTATTCTCCGTGGTAAAGTCAAGCTATTAGGATGCGATTAGAGCGCTCTCCGCGCTAGATGACGCAGCCCCTGTCAAGAAAGAGCGCTTTGTAACCTCATATAACTTAGCACAAGAGGAAGGGCTCTCAGAGAGAGTAATAAGAGCTGGCTGGAAGGCTGCTGGCCTTGTTCCGTTCAACAAAAAGCTAGTACTCAACTCATCTCAGATCACTGGGCGCCCAAGTACACCACCACCAGCAGATCAAGGCAGAGCTCTTCTTAAGGCAGTACTTGCTACACCAAAGAGCTCTCAGCAGCTAAAGCGCGCGCAGCAGGCGCTGCTAGGATCAGAGAACCTCTCGCGAAGCACCCAGGAGGTTCTCACCAAAGCAGCTAAGGCAATTGCTATCACCAACGCTAGAGCTGCTGGGCTAGAGGCTGAGAATCAACGACTTAAATATCAACTAGATAGTACTAAGCAATCAAGGCTGCGATGGCTCTGGCTGCTGCTCAAGAGGCAGAAAACGCTGCCAAAAACCCAGAAAAAGAAGCTGAGAAAGCAGCTAAGGAAGCAGCAGCCTGCACTCTTGATTCCATGTGTACAGTATACCAATTATAAGCGTTGTGGTTAAGTTATCGCGATTCAAAGTGAGGTAGTTACATTTGGTTGGGTGGCCGGAAAGTATAAGCTGGGTAAGGTGCTTTCCGGCCACCCGTACTTTCCGGCCACCCCGCCCAAAGCAGCCACACAGTATAGAGTCGTGATTTTCTTAACAACAACGATTATATTTGCCACTGTGTACACCTGGAATTGAGAGTACGAGCTACTGCAGCAGCTGCAGCCTTTTCTGCTTCTTTTCCTGCTGAAGTGCTTGCCTGTTGAGCCTGTAGAGCTGCTGCTCGGTCGATAGCAGCCTGTGTACTCTCAACGTTGCTGAATCGCTCATTTGGATCAAGTTGGACGCGCTTTCTCGTACGAGTAATCTTAAAGTGATTTAGTTGATATTTGAGTTGTTGATTCTCAGCCTTGAGCTGGGCAGCTCTGGTATTTGCCTCCGCAATAGCCTTGCCTGCCTTGCCAAGCACTATCCGGGTGCTTCGTGAGAGAGACCCTGATAACAGCAGCTGCTGCTGGGCCTTGTATAGAGCTTGTGAGCTCTGAGGGGTGTTGAAGACTTGTTCAGATGTAGTCAAGGCCTGACTAGCTGCTAGTGGAGTGACTGGCCGGCCAGTTACTTGGGATGAGAGCAGTACTAGATTTGGGTTGAATGGGCAAAGGCCAGCAGCGCGCCAGCCTGCTCTTATAACTCGCTCTGATAGAGCTTCTTCTCTTGCCTTGTTACATGATACAACAAAGCGCTCCCTCTTGATAGGTGCTGCGTCATCAAGGACAGAGAGAGCTCGGATCTCATTGCGATAGCGTGTTTTAAGAACAGAGAAAGGAGCAAGATCTAGAGGCTGCAGCAGGTGTGATGCAGGAGCTGGGAGATACAGGAGGTGTATCTTGTCAAGCTTGCAGAGCCACATAAATTCGATAGGTGTACGACAGCCATGGCCATCAAGAGGGAGCAGTCGATAGCCACCAGAGGATGGTGAAGTATTTGGTATAAAAATACGCTGTAACCATTGACAGCCGATTGAGTTGGACGTCCAGCCATTCGCTGACGTGGTATAGAGCCAATCTGGTGTGCCTTGGGTTGGGAACCAAGTAGATTGTAGATGCTTGCCTTTGAAGATGACCAGGCATTGAAGCTTGATGCCGGTGGCTGAGATTGTTTCCAAAAGTGATACCTACTCGCGATCCTCTGGAGACTTCATGTAAGCCTTCATATAAGCCTTCTTCTTTATAGAGCTTGCGAGCACCTGGGCATTAGTACCTACCCCTAGTGCAACTCCAGTCTCGTCCACATTCCACATATCTTCATACTGTATCCCTAGCTCCATTCTTGTCCGCTCAAACAGCTCAAGGCCTTGATAGTATCGTAGTTAGCTGCTGTAGTCCTTGCGCTCTCAATTGGTCGGCCAACGACAGATGCAACACGTGGGTTGCGGGCGATGAAACGGGGTATCCATAGTTGCCCGAGAGGCTCGTCGTCGCCGTTCATGTGTAGGATGCGCGCTGCCATCTCTCGTACGCGAGGATGAGATGGAGGTTGTGCGCGTGAGTCCTCTTCAAGTATCCAATCAACTAGAAAGGCCTCTTGTTCTGGAGTTAATCGCTGTTGATTTGAGTGAGCTATCGCGTGTGGTTGTTGACCTGCCCGTCGGCCTTGCAACGTTGATCGCGCAACGCCGTGCCAACGAGCGGCTGCTCGCTCGCTCTTAAAAGCACCAGAATTTAGATCTGCAATAGCATTTTGTATAGCAAGTTCCTTGGGTTCCATATGGAGGGCGTGGTGGTGATAGTATAGTTGGTTAAAGCAGGGTGACGCGTTGTGGTGGTGGGGTGGCCGGAAAGTACAAGTGGCCGGAAAGTATATGGCCGGAAAGTATATGGCCGAGCTTATTTGGAGAGTAATACCTCCACCTCCGCATTCGCATTCGCCACCGCATTCGCATTCGCCGCCGCATTCGCATTCGCCGCCGCATTCTGGAGTATCCGCGCAGAGACGTTCCTGTTGTCAATTCACGCGTCGGGGTGTGGAGCTGTGCACGAGGGAGTGCGTAGACTACTTCATTTCTTTCTTTCTTTCTCGGGCAGTCTTCAGCCTGCGGGCAAGGATTCATATATCTTACATCCATGTCTATCTATGATGCAATCGCTTAGTATTCAAATGCCATGTAAGGAATCAGACTGCAGGTTGAACGGCAGGCGTGGGAGCCTCGGCGTCCTTGACTTGCAGCTTCGCGACGTCGGCGGCTAGTGCTGCGTCGCCGCTTGCGCTGGGTGCGTGCACCGGCGGCGGAACGGCTGCTGAGTCGCTGAGCGGCGCGGTTTCGTCGACGGCAGCGGTCGCTGTGGTGGTTGGCTGCGGCGCGGCAGCTGCACCGACGCTCTGCTCCGAGCCAACGGCGGCAGCTGCACCGACGCTCTGCTCCCCATCAACAGCAGCAGCTGTGCCGGTCGGCTGCGGCGCCTTGACTGCCTCACTCTGCTCCTCAGCAACAGCAGAGGTGGCTGCACCGACAGCAGGGGTGGCTGCACCAACAGCAGGGGTGGCTGCACCAACAGCAGAGGTGGCTGCACCAACAGCAGAGGTGGCTGCACCAACAGCAGGGGTGGCTGCACCAACACTCTGCTCGTCGCCGCCCCAGAGGTACACCTCGCTCTCGCCTACTAGCTTGCCGGCCTGCTCCCAACGCCCGACCCTCCTCGCGCGGCGGTCGGCGGCCAGCTTCTCCAGCGCAGGCCAGTAGACGTCGTGGTCGTACTTGAAGTCGACGGCGCCGCCTGAGGCGGCCATGAGCTGCTCGGCCGGGACGTGGTCGGTGAGGGGCTCGTTGTACTTGATCTTCTCCTTGGTGACCGGGTCGATGAAGGGGTTGATGGCCTTGAGGAATATGGAGACGTACCACGGCAGGTGGGTCAGCAGGGCGCGGCCGAGGCGCTCCGGGTAGTGGTTCTGCAGGATGTCGAGGACCTGCTTCGCGATGCCGAGCCCCGGCGTGCCGCCCGAGGAGGTGTTGCGGAAGTCGATCAGCAGCGCGAGGCTCTCCTGGCCCGGCGGGTGCAGGTCAATGGTGCGCTCCAGCATGTAGACCAGGTGCTCGACCTGTCGCGGCCCGGGCTTGGTGTTCTGGTTCTGCGGCAGCAGGTACAGGCACGGCCGCCCGGCCTTGTCGAACCCGAGCTGGACCTGCTTGCCCTTTTCGTTCTCGGGCGAAATGTACGCGGCGGAGAGCTTCTCGGTGCCAAACTCGCGCCGCCAGACTGCCGTTGCGCCGAGACGCGTCGCGGCTTGTGTGGGGTTCCACTTTGTCGCGCGCAGGTACCGCAGCAGACACTCGCGGGTCAGCCACATGCGCTCGCCATCGTCGAGGGGCGTCAGCTCGGCGCCCTTTGCCGCCGTGACGGGCAGCGACTCCCAGGCCCGCACTGCGCCGAGGAGCTCGTCGTACTTGGTCTGCTGTTCGGCGGTGAGCGCTGCTGGCGGTGCGGGCGTGCTGCTCGGCGCCGGCTCGGCGATGGGGCCCATTGTCGTCATGTTGGCGCTGGGTGTGGAGCGCCAAAGTAGTCGGAGTCGTGACACGGTCGGACGGGAGGCAGTCGTGGGAATCGAGCACGGGCGGACTGGTGAGCGCTGAAGCAGTCGTGGGAATCGTCGGCACGTGGGAATTATAGCACGGGAGGATCCACATCGTGTCCGACTGCCCCTGTCCCTGCAGCCGTCCAGCGCTAGCCCCATTGGCACTAGCGCACCACTTTAACCATGCACAACGCGTCGACGCGTCTGGTCGCGTCCTCGACCACACCGACCGCACAACATGGACGACGCGACGACGGAGCTCACCGAGCGCTTCGAGCGCTACTGCAACACCAAAGACGGCGAGCTGCCCTCGGACGTGCTCGCGGAACTGCAGTCGATGCTGCGGCTGTACTCGCTGTCTGCCGAGGCGCTGGACTTCAAATGGCAGGCGTACAGCATCAAGATGGGCGCAGAGGGCGACAGGATGGAGCTGAAGACGGTCCGCGACTTCAAGAAGACGATTCAGGACTCGCTGGAGCGCGAGAGCAGAGGAAAGGCGCAGCAGCGGACCGAGATCAAGAAAGAGCGTCCCACGCCGCGGGCAAAGGGCGGCGACGTGTACGACGTGATCGAGGGCCTGTTGCCAAACACACCGCGCGCGCACGGCAGCGCAGCCAAGCGCAAGAGCAACTTTGACTCACCCGCTGGCAGGCCGAACACGGCGCATCTCGCGAGCTCGCCGGCGGGACTGCGCACTGCAGCCAACGGCGACATCACCTTTGACTTTGCGAGCCGCGCCCACGCAAACGACATCACCGAGCAGTTTATGAGCAGCGACATGGCCCTCCCCGCCCCGCCCTCGGAGCCGCCCGGCGCGCCGCGCATGAAGCTAAAGGCCAACACCGACATGTCCAAGTTCTCGTACCGCACCATGACGATGAAGCTGTCCGAGGCGTCGGAGGTGCTCGACGACCGGATAGACGAGTTCCGCCAGCTGCTGCAGGAGTCGATGGACGTGGACGACAGCGCGTTCGGGAACCCCAGCGTGTCGTCGCCCAACGAGATCATCGCCGTGGGCCGCATAGCCAGCGACGCCAGCGAAGGCAGGCTCAACACGGCCTCGCTCGTCCTCGAAGGCTCGCGTCGGTTCGGCTCCGGCCGCCGCGTGCCGCTGAAAATCGACGCCCTCTCCTCGTACAACTTCTTCCCCGGCCAGATTGTCGCCCTGCGCGGCACAAACGCGAGCGGTGACGTCTTCGTCGTGTCAGAGCGCCTCGCCCTCCCGCTGCTCAACCCGCCCGCCACCAAGCCCGCGGACCTCGACGAGATCCACACGCGCTATCTCGACACGCCAGACGCGGACCCAGACGCGGCCCGGCCGCTGACCATGATGATCGCCGCCGGCCCCTACACGACCGACCAGAACCTCGACTTTGCCCCCCTGCACACCTTCCTCGACAACGCCGCGGCCGCCTACGCCGACACGGTGATCCTGCTCGGCCCCTTCCTCGACGCCGAACACCCGCAGATCCGCTCCGGCGACTTTGACCCCCCGCCCACGGCGACCCCAGACCAGGCGACAATGGCCGATCTGTTCCGGCACCATGTGTCCAGCGCGCTGCAGGACTTTGCGCGCAGAAACGCAACGTGCAACGTCATCCTCGTCCCGAGTCTGAGGGACGCACACCACCACAGCCCCGCCTTCCCGCAGGACAAGTTTGTAAAGCGGGACCTCGGCCTCGGCGGCGCAGGCAAGATGGTGCACTGCGTGACGAATCCCATGACGCTGAGCATGAACGAAATCACCGTCGGCATGTCGAGCGTCGATATGCTGTCCATGCTGCGCCAGGAGGAGATCAGCGGGGGGAAAGCGCGAGGTGTTAACCTCTACGAGCGCGGGGCGCGGAATGTGCTCGAGCAGCGCAGCTTCTTGCCCGTGTTTCCCCCGCTGAGCAGGGAGAAGTGGACTCGCCCTGTGGACGTGGAGATGAAGCCCGTCCAGACCGACGCGCAGGTGGATGCAGACGAAGAACCGAGCCCGTTCCTGCCCCTCGGCACTCCGCTGGATATCTCGTATCTCAAGCTCGGCGAGATGCTCAACGTCCGCCCCGATATTCTCATCTCCCCCAGCGCGCTGCAGGGCACTGTCAAGGTAAGCCAGCCCTGACCCAAACCGTGTCTCGACCATACGCCCATCCGGCCCCGTGCACGTCACGAGACTGGCACGTCACGAGACTGGCACGTCGCGAGACTAACATGTCATGAGACTGGCATGTCGCGAGACTGGCATGTCATGAGACTGGCATGTCGCGAGACTAACATGTCACGAGACTAACACGCACCAGGTCGTCGAATCGGTCGTCCTCATCAACCCGGGCACACTGGCCAAGCGGCGCGCCGCGGGCTCGTACGCGCGCGTCATCGTCCAGCCCGCAAGGGTCACCCAGGAGGAGAGAGAGAGGGGTGTTGCGGTTGCGCATCGTGTCTGGGAGCGGTGCAGGGTTGACATCGTGAGGGTGTAGATGTAGATTGTTGCTTTGAAACAGAGATTGCTGTCTTGGCTTCATTCGCATACGTAGCCAAGATGTCAAAGGTCACACCCAGGGCAGCGTGCTGTGAGGCCGGTGCTGTTCCGTCGGCGCACTGTGGCCTCGAACTCTGGCGGCACGAAACGCAGTCGTCCTTGGAGAGGCGCAGGCAGGATGGGAAGGAAGACTGCGCCATGGCCCTCGCTCAAGCGGGAGAGCGCTGTGAATTGCTACATGCACACACAATCGCATTTGTGGATACAATCGCATTTGTGGATACAATCGCATTTGTGGATACGATTGCGTTGGTCATCGGTGTGAATGCAATAGGGCTGGAGAAACGCAGCTGGAGAAACGCAGCTGGAAGTGCCGCTTGGCGAAATGTCTCCAGAGCGTGAGTAATAGGTAGTAAGCTGACCGAAGCCATGGAAGGCTGGCTTAAGCTGAGCTTCTCATACTGATGCGCTGCTTGCAACACACCGACTCTGCAGCGTACGAGTATGGCATAGTATCGGCCTCGATGAATCTCGAAGCTCACGTTGCAATCTGGAAAGTGGTCGTCTCTCGTGTCGTGAACGAAAATAGCCTGCGATGGACGCATGCGGCTATATTTTCTCGCAAAGACTCTGGACTGAAGGCACGAACTGCTGAAACTTACCTTCGGAGGCAGCCGAGACCTGAGCTGTGTAAAGGTGTGAGAATTGCCGCTTTAGGACTAGCGCTGCGGCTGAGCGAGTCTGACCGCTCGTTGTATGTCAACGCGTGGATGCCTCACACCGCACCGAATCTTGAGCCTCTTCAGCAAGCCTCTGTGTTTGTCGAACGCGGATATCAGCTGGGTCTTACTCTAAAGCAAGGATCAGTGGGATATGGTGGAGTGGCTCTGGGAGCCGCAGAACAGTACCTGATGAAGCGACGTGCAGCTATTGAAGCATGGTTCAGTTTAAAGAGGCGGATCACCATTGATCTCAAATCGTCATTCAAAAGCAACACTTCGACACTTCTCCCCAGCTCCTTACCCAAGCATTGCCCTTGCCATCAATATATATTTGCCTCTGCCACTCCACACCTTCGACCCATCCAAGATGAAGACGACCGCTTCGTTTTTCTTGCTCGCAGTCAGCTTCTTAGCTGCTGCCGCAGCTTCTCCCTCAACTTCTGCGCTTTACACGCTCAGCATACTTGGCCAAGATCCAAAGCTCAACGGTAGCGCAGTCGTCGTCAAGGATGAGTCGGGCGCGAACACGTTCCCCAACCCTCTAGGCATCTTTTCCACTGGCGAGCCCCACCATCCGTACACCTTTACGGTAGCGACCGTATCAGAGAAGGACAACCTGTACGAAGTCAAGAGTACAGTCAGCCAAAAGCACCTCATTCTGAACGGCGACCCCATCGCTCCTCAACTCTTCGAGGTGCCTGTTGGTGGAGACCCGGCCGCTGCTCCCAATAAAACTATTACTCGCACCAAGTTCCTCATCTTGAACGAGTTCGACATGATGGTCCTCAAAAGCGCAGAGGATACAAAGAATTCCAATGGTGAATTTCAAGGACAGGGATCCTGGCGTGCATGCAATAGAAGCACGGCAGATTACCAGTTGTACTGGTTTGATGGTACGACAGATCCCATCGTCTCGGCAGGACTTGACAATTCAACTTGCTAACTGTACATAGGACTCTCCAACCTGACTGCACTTCTCGGCAACTGCGAGGGCGTTCGTCTTGTGCTCGAGAAAGCCAAGCCTAGCGCTTCTTCTAGTGTCGTACCGCCTACAACCCTGTCGACTAGCCGGTCCATCACAGACGTGCCTGCGTCCACCGCGGCCACGAGCGGCAGCATCACCGAGGTGTCCACTGCCACTACAAAGCCTACCACCACCATCCCGGCACCGACGCCCACGGCCGTTGCTCGGGTCACGATTCGCATCTTCAACGACCAAAGCGGTGCTAACGCGGAAGCCACCATTTTCGCTGACGGCTCTTCGCATAGTATTCCAGAGCTCTTCCGCGGTACTGCGATCGACATCACGGGTAGCATTGTGGGTACATCCGCACAGCTCGTCGGGTTCTCGGACAGCACGCGGTGCTCGCTGGTGAACCTCAATGTCCGGGACTGGGTCGTTGAGCTCGACGGGCGCGCGAAGAACTTTGCTGATCTTGACCATGATCATTCAAAGGCGGCCCCGGTATGGCTCGGTGGATTCACGTTCCAGTGTCGTCGGGCTTGATTGCGGTGATGCTAGTTGGGATTGTGGCGGATTCCTGGCTCCTTGTGTTGAGGGCGCGTTTCCATTCTTTCTTTCTTTGGACTTAGTAAAGCGCGTGATTGAGGCATACAAGCATAGACTATAGACATCGAAAGTGGCAAATTCATTTTCTTCTTGAATTTACCAACAACGCAAATAGCCCAAGACGACACTAATTCCAAATCGCGAGAATTCATAAGTGGATCCATATGTATGCAATCTGAGCTCAGAAGTACTGACGTGCACAACTCATGTCTGCGGAGTAGCTGTGCGCTGTAGCCATAGATGTAGATGAACATGTAGCACTCGAGCAGTGCCACGGCTCAGAACTCCTGAAAGAAGCGCAATGTCCATCCTGCTAATTCAAATCTTTTTCAACCTTTAGTCGCGTCAATCGTCTAGAACGATAAGAAGGAGACCAGAAATACCTCGTTGTGAACGACCTGGTGTGCGCATCAATGGATTACGTGACCGAAGGGTCTCCAGAGGTAATGGGAATAGATCTTTACTGTGATCGCAAAATTACGGATGAACGTGCTGTCTAGAAAAGACTTTAGCCGGTGCCGTGGGTTAATTCTTAGCGCCTTGGATATGTACTGGGTTCTTAGCGATTCTGCTGCGGGTGAGTGATGTTGCTATCTACATGAGGATGAAGATCACCTTGACCTGTGATGCAAAGGTAGTGCGTTAGCAGTCGGCGCCTTTCCCTTGCGAATTAGCACATGATCAGGCGTCGGAACTGTCTCAGACATCTAGAATTAATGTTGGAAAACTCTTTTAAAGCAGAGATCTACTTCTGCATCAAAATAGGCCTATCATACTTTAACCGGCTAGTCTGAGGCTGAGGCATCCTGCGATCTAAACTCCTTGCGGTCAGACCGGCATCCAGATGCTTACATATAAGGTAATGGCCAGCAGTACTTTGGAGGATCTCACTCGAGTTCAATAAGAGCCAACATCTCGCCAAGTGCCCCGTATTATGAAGATCTTATTGTCTCTCAGTCTCGTCGTTCCACCATGGCTCGTCGCAGCATACGCAGTCGACCCTCCCAGCACAGCGGCCCCTGATACCATCGCGGACTGCACTTATTGGCATATAGCTGCAGAGACCGAGACATGCAGCGGCATTACTGAGTACTGGGGTCTCACAGAAGCTCAGTTCGCCACATACGTGCGTCCTTCTCCAGATGTCACAATTTTCATCACCACTGACACCAACAGAACCCTGTTCTGACTGAAAGCTGCGACCTCATCGTTGGTAACTCCTACTGTATCGAGCAGAATTGGGGTCTTCCCGCCCCAACTCCCACCAGCAGCGCAGCTACCAGCACCAGCGCAACCTCAGCCCCAACCACCACTCCCACCCCGCTGACAGATCTTGAGATATGTGAGGCTGAAGCTGGTGGGTATGATAAATACTGCGAACGCTGTCTCTCGCGCTGCGCAACCTCTGCGGTGAAGGACCACTGTTTCTACAGCACGTTTTTCGTCATAAATAGCTATGATAGTGATTGTTGGAAACACGGGGGAAGCGACTGTGCGAATAAGGCAGTGGATATCGTCTGCCCCCAGAAGTAGGAAATGAATATGAGGGACTTGACAGAGTCAATCTCTCATCTGGATACAGTCGATCTGTAACTCAAAGACCCCGCAAGAATCTGCAGTAAGCAAAGACAGGAAGGATCTGTTAGAAGAAAACAGGGCTGCTTGCCTAACTCCTTGGTCCTACTCACCGGATCTTGAGTGTGACGGAACAAATACACGTCAAATTTAACCTCCAGGATCTCGGCTCTCACATGTCCAAATGAGGAAGGTCGGAGCCGCGGGTCCCTCTAGGCAACCAATCGAACCCCAGTCGTCTCAGGAACGAGGGACGGGAAGGAAGCGCTAACGGCCCGTTGGCGACAAAACTCTTGTAAGGCGTACCATTTCTTAAGGGTTAGTTCGTATAGCAGCTTGGAGTCTGACGATGTTTTGCCGGCGATGCTATAAGAACATCCACCCCATCTACTCACCATCCAGAGCCTCAAACTTGTCCAACATGCGTCTATCTCTTCTTGCACTCACCGGCGCCGCCATCGCGGCAGCCAGCGAATACGACCGCCCCGATTTCACAGGCGCGTACTGGGACGTGAGCGTCTCCACACAGACCGGGCGCCCCGGATACACCATCACCGACTTCAGCGCGAGCTTCCACTCGCCCCTCGCCTCGCAGGCGGTGGAGGGGAAGTGCCACTACAGTTTCGTCCCGCAGGGCACAAGTCCGCCGGCCGAGACCAACGAGTGCACTGGTGGCCTGAAGTACGAGTGGAACTGTAAGTCGAACAGTTTTGCAACGTGCCTGCATACTGGCGTATACGGGTTTCCCTGCAGAAACGTGGCACTGACGCGGACTCAGATACCAATGTTACGTTCCTGGAGCACACGGTCGTTCTTGGAAACGAGACTGTGCTGATGTTCGGACTGTCAACTAAGATTGAGACGACGAGGCGGAGTGATGGGATGAGCAGTACGACCACAGGCAGCGGCAAGGTGGGTATCAGCCATTATTGCGGGTATGGAGGGTGCGGGTACGCAAACGGGTGCATATCGTCGGAGTGCAACGCCAAGAAGACAGGCGGAGCGTGAAGCCGAACATCCAAGAGATGCTGGCAATAGAAACGGTACTGCGGAAACATCCCGTCAAGCTGGACGGGCGTGTCGGAAGAAGCGATGATTTGGAGAGATGCCGTGGCAACGGCGTAGGAGACATAACTGTCAGACCTTTAAGTGTTTGCCAATAGGACTTTAGCCAATTACAATTGCAGTCCAGCTACAGTAAATCTGTAACGGTTGAGAGGAGAAGCAGATCACGTGTTGTTGGCGGTGGTCTGGTGTTACTTCCTCATGTTGTTCAGCACCTATTACCTCAGCTGCATCACAAACACGTCATCAAAACAGACCCCGCAGCGAGCCTTGGAGAGCAAAGATACAAGCAGAACAAGAACACAGAACAACACAATACACTCGTTTATATTTGCCCTTGATACCGTAACAAAATCCCTGCTCGCAAGTTTGACCATGACTAAAATGCTCCGCACTCCCTTCGCTCTCAAGGCTCTCTTCAGCAGCTCTTCAAACCGCTCATCTCCAGACTGTAACCTTGCCAGTGCTCTCACCAGTAGCTAGACAACATCTTCACCGGCGGTTGATTTGCTATTGACCCTAGCATCCGCGGTTACCACACTATTTCTCAGAAGTGAAGCCACAGTATGAGCACGTCTCAATGCAAGACCTCTCTCTTGGTGCCAACTTCACCATTCTTTGGTGCGACATCCTTCAACTTGATTCTCTCGTTGTGTTCCACTTTTCCATCCTTCTTTGGGGCTCTGCACGCCAGCTCTCGTGGGAGTCATTGTTGTGCGTTGGACATCAAGCAACGGCATGGTTTCTTCTGCCTTGTCTTCCTCATTTTCCTTCGAACCTGGCGCGCGTAGGTATGCCATTTCGGGCTACCGTCCCTTCACTGGGAGGATTTCTCGACAGTTGCAATCGAGCTTGTCTGCCCAGTATTGGGGTTTGTGAGTGAATTTGCGCATGCCTGGAAGCAGATGGTAAATAGCTCCATCGTTGGTCAGCTAGGTGATGCGAGAGGCATGATTCTCCCTCCCAAGAGTCAGGTATGCCACGAGTGAGAGTGATCTGTACTTACTCTGCCTGAGACCCAATATTGGACTTTGAGCTGCTCGTCTTCACTCAACTTGCCATCCCAATCGTAAAGCTTATCGAGTATGCGTAAACTAATCGAAGGAAGGTTGATCCTGTTGCTCGTTTCAATGTTGACGGCCGTGTAAGTCAGGTTACCGAGCCCCAAAGGTGCTGATAGCTTGGTCGGGCTGTCATCCCTGCTGAGCCATGTGTTCTGACTAATGGTCAACTTTTGTTGCGGCAAACGTAGCCGCTGTATATCGATGGAAAACTGCGCTGAGTTGCTTGCTAGCTAAGAGGCGACCATATATACATGCCCTGAGACGTGCTAGTCCAAGGTAGTCAACAGAGGTGACGATCAAGGCCTGTCGGACCGACTTGCACCGCAACAACTTTTACATTTTGTAAAGTTTCTCTTCGTGGATCGCTTAGGAATCTGTCTACCTTCAACGTTTCCGTCGGCTCTATAGTCGCATATCGTGGTAACAGGGAGTCTCAAGAATACCAACTGGCGCGTTTGCGATAGATCACGCTTGGAGCGTCTTGACTTCCCGGAGCTCTATGTCATGATCGGACATGCGAATGATAGCGACGATACTGTCTTCAACTTTTCCGACCTGCGGGGTCGTTTCCTCCGGGGTTCGAATCACCACTAGGCAGCGTCCGTCAAGCTTATTAGCCGCTGACATCCGGTATGTACTTCATCCGATTATGCTGTTGGACAAAAAAAACGACTCGAAGACCGTCAATGCTCATTCAGCATTCAAGATTGAACTGTTCAACATTCCGGACGCAGTTCAAAACACCTCGGTCAGTAAGGGCACCCAGATCCAGATCATGGACTTCTACTTCCAGGACACTGAGCGACAGCGAGACTCGCCCCGACCAAATGTACATGACCTATATCATCAAGTAAAAATACACAAAAGTCGGAACAAGGACTGCAGATCTTGTCGCTGGGAGTGTGTTCCCGTTCACTGGTGCCGGCAACCAATGGTCGAAGAGTGATCCCGATAACACAGCCTCGCAACACGTGCTGTGTAGTGGCGAGAACAATAATGACTACAAGGAATTGGCGAAGCTTTACAAGAACAATGTCTGGAGTCAAAGTGAAAGTGGAGGAACATTCCGGGTTTCCGATTCTGAGGTCACTTTATCTCCGCGGCACTGGATCCAACGGCAGATCTACTGCAAACAGGCAAAAGTGGGAGACTGGCCGACCACAAAAGCTCAACAATGGTCCTATGAGCAAATGGCCCCTCAATGTTGCCTGTGGTGGCGGCAACACAACATCCGATGCGATGGGCAATCGCACATTGGATATTAATGCTGATTGGGACAATGAGACAGCTCCAACAGCTATGGCTATGGAATTCTATGTGCGCGCCAGCGGTCCTGATGATAAGGAAGTAACTTAGTCTGGACCAACAATAGCAGTCGCTCTTTAGGTAGTAGCTTGATTGCAAATGTAATGATCCTTAAATTGTAAAGCATATGTTCCAGGCGTTGACAATCACGCCAAATATGTAGTAATCTTTCTGGTATTGTTCTGGCGTGAGACTGTTGCAGCTTTTCTGCTAAGAACCTAATAGTAAAGATCATCGTAGCAATTTAGATAAATCTAAGCTAACTGAGCTCGGTGGGTTATCTGCTAGTTAGCCTTGAATTTGACTATTGAATTCAATGACTTCGTACTCAATTGGGGGGTCTGCATGTACGTCTCAGCTGAAGTTAGCCGGGCACTTGCACAAGTCCAATGCTAACCTAATTAGGTACGCATTCATCTTTGCAATTTCCAACCAGTCGGGTCCCAGTTTGGCAGCAAGGATGCTAGTTTGCGTATTAGGTGTCGGAATATCACGCACAACACCAGAGCAATCGAAGTTCGACATATTATCATATCGTGATGCTTGTACGGGAGGAACCTTGCGTGAATGCTCGATGCTTCAAGACGCCATGCTCGTACGAGAAGAGCAACGCAATTTTATCCTGTACGCCCCAGAACGCCGTGCTTGCCCTTTTAAATCCACTAACTTCCACCGAAAACTACGTATAGCTCGCCCAGCCCATATACAGCACCGCCAAATTGTTCTCATCCGTAGCCTGTTGGATAAGCTCGTTAACTGTCGCCTTCGTACTCAGCGTCTTACTGAGTTTCTTCTCAACAACACTCAGCGCCCTGCCCGCCTCACCCGCCTGATCCTCCTTCTCCTTCTTCTTGAGACTCTCGTGTAGAACCTCCTGCTCTACGACGCTCCCAGGCGGACCCGGCGTCCCGCCTGGCATGACGCTTTGTCCGCGCGCAGTGCTGGTCGCGTCGCCTTCTTGCATGCGCTTCGCCTTCGTGGGAGTGACGCTCCAGTTCACAAGCGGATCGTAGCGCAGCACGTTGAGTAGGGTCATGATGGACTCGCGTTCCTCGCGAAGGGTGTCCATGGTGAACTCGCAGGAGCGGCGGAAAACGCCTTCTGTTTTTGTGTAGCCCATTGCGTCGACGAGGTCACGGGTTAGGCGGAAAGGGACGACTTCGGGGATGGGCAGGACGCGGCCGGCTTCGAAGGAGACGCCGAGATCAATGTGGACTACTTCGCCAGATTTTTCGTCTAGCAGGATGTTGTGGCAGTGCCGGTCGCCGAGACCGAGGACGTGGCCGAGAATGGAGATAGCGGCTGTTGAGCGTGTGTATGCTAGGCGGCGCTCAAACCATTCATCGGGATCTTCGAAGCGCTCGAGCAGGAAATACCTCATGACAGGGTGGAAGTTGTCGGTCACCTTCTTCCAGACTTTGACGCGCGTGGCGAGAGAGTCTGACTGGCAAGCACCAATCTCCTTGCGACATCTATCTGACCTGTAGTCGTTTGGATAGTATCTTTCGTGTGCAGGCATGACCCATGAGTGTAAAGGCAGCGTATTTGGCACAAACTCCATCAGGCCGGATCGGGTGGATAACGGGAGCACTTTGTACGTCCGGATGCCGATATCGCGAATACGTGTGGCTGTGTGATACTTGAGAAGTCGAGACACTTGGTCGAAGACTTGCTCCATGATCGCGTCTTGGCGAAGATCATCGTTACCGGATTTGAACTACATAAAATTAGCGGGTAGATTCGAGCCAACATCAGGGTACTTACCAGCTGCTTGTACGGCTTGCCATCGCTGCCCACTGCCGTGATGACCTTTGGTGCGCTGAGACCATTCGCAATGCTCATTGTTGACCGGAACCTCTGGATGCGAGGAAGGTCACTGTAATCCATGTTTGGGCGAACCTCGATCTGTAGCGTAGCTGGGGGAACATTAAGCTTTGGCACGGCGCTTGCCAGTTCCTTTGATTCCTTGTACCGATCGAGGGGTAGCTCACGACCCTGCTGGGTGCTCTCCTTTTCACCCTTGAACATGGCTAGGTTGTGGTAGATCTCGTTGGACTGATAGATCGAGCTCCAGTACGATCTTGCGCGCTTGTCCACCCTCAAGTCATTCGCGATGTCTGTCGCAGCTTTCTGGCGCGATCTTGCTGCTTCGTCTTTTGAGCGTGCTATGTCTTCTCTTGTGATTGGTCCGACTTTCATCTGTATGGCGAAGATCTGGTGCATGCCGTGGAATGGATGCTCGATGCAGATGCGTAATACCAACTTTAGGAGGAGCTTTTGGAACGGCGTGTTCTCGCTCTGCAGTCGAGACGAGAGTTGATTCATTAGCAGGGCGAACTTGCCGCTAGGAACCTTGTCCAGATATTGTTTGACCGCGTCATTCGCAAGATCCGTGTCGGCATACTCGATCCAAAGTGCGAAAACACGAAGCGCATCGTTGTTGTACTCATCGCTTGCGGCCAAGGAAAGTAGATAGTTCTCCAGACACTGACGCAGGAACCCCTCTCGGCCTTGCCGCATGCGCTCATATTCAGTGTGATCAAGCTCGTACCACGTCTTTGCTCGACGGGCACTGCGTTGGTAGGTCTCTCGCATACTTTTGCTCTTGTCGGTCTTTGCGAGCTTAATGAAGTCATGGTGCTCTTGCAGCTTTCGTTCCATGACAGTCTTGACACGGTCCAAATCTTCTGCGGCCTCTGGGCTTTGCAGTTGCTTGTCACAGAAAAAAGCAAACTCGTGGAATACTTGTCCTGGTCCAGCCCCCGACTGTTGGCCTTTGAGTTCTCGAATTGCTGGCTCGAGGTACTCTTGCATGATAGCATCTGGTTTTGCGAGACGAGCCTCTGCAAGATGATGACCCTGCTCAAGTCAGTACAGGTCTCACATCATATAATGTGGATACGCACCAGTCTAGCTAGCAGTACTGGCAAGCTCAATTCTACATTTTGAGAGTCGAAGCTGGCATGGTCGATGAGGTTTTGGCGCATGCGTATGGAGGTGTCCGTTTCGCCCTGTTCCCATAGTACATTCGCAACCTCATGCTGAGCTGTAGCTTCAATGTCCAGCCCGGCACTCTTGCACTTGGGCACGATATCGGACAGATAGGTCACGCTGGCTAATGACTCGTGAATAGCGCCATGTCGTCTGCTGATTGATGAAGAGGAAACTAATGCTTCTACCTCCATATTGCGGATTGTCGCTGTGCGCGTGTGCAAGGAGTCGATGATAGCGTTGTTTGTACTCAGGACGTTGAAGAGAGTCTCGCGGCAGGACAATAGTTGGCGAACATCCGTGAACCTGTGTTGATGATCAGTCACCCCAATCTTCAAGCACGGTGAGATTTGTGCTTACTCGCCGGCTCGCATCCATCTCTCGCGAGCTTTCATACGGTCCCAGACATCTAGTAAGTACTCTGGGTTATCAGCTCGCAGTACTTCGTCAGCTTCTGTAAGAGCCGCTAAGGTGCGAAGGCGGGCTTTCGTTGACACAGCGGAGCTGACTCTGCCTGTGAGGAAGTTCATCGTAGCAAGCATCTGTTCGTTGAAATGTTCCTGAGCCACTCCTGGCGTCTTGGCGATGTGAAGACCTTGGAAGGCCTTGAAGAGCATGGCGGATTCGGTGTGATTGGACTCAGGTGCTTTAATATCCCATTGTCCTAGCTTGCGAGCAGTGTGGAGCGTGCTCTCTACAGCGTCGTCTCCCTTGTCACGGAATTGGTCAGTCGAGAGGAGTGAGTGGGTCACACTGTTCATGTTCAGCATAATAAGTGACTTGACCGTGCCACGTGTATCGGAGGGACCGAGCTCGTTCTGGCGACGCATCTGGCTGTCGAGTCGAGCGCCGCGGAAGATGAGACTTTTGACACCGTCTCTCTCATAATCTAGGCGGTCTAACACAGCTGACAGACTGGAGCCCCTATCGACGGCGTAGAACGAGTCGGGTTCGTCCAAATTCTTGTAGATCGCGAGCTGCAAGTCTGTGGGTAGCGTTGGAGCAGGGACCAAGGTTGAAGATCTTCGGGAAGTACTCTTGACCACAGGCTGACCCGAAGATGTTTCTGCGAAGAGCAGCGCGCTCCTGTACATATCGCAAGCGGTTGCTGCCCGCGAAGCTTCGAGGTAGTTGATCTCCAGCCATCTATCTCGATCGACTCGGGTAGTCTCTTTCGGAACTGGCTGGCTGCGGAGATACAAAATCGCCTGAATAAGAATACGCACATAGGGTGCCTTGTTGCTACCGCAGTCTTGAAACCAAGCCGCGGCAGCTGCTGACACAGCCTTCCGAATACTGCGGTCTTCTTCAAACTCTGCCAGCAGGACGAGGTGAAGTATATAAGGGAACAGGCGTTCTGCCATGCCTTCGATGCCGTGCAGAAGGGCAGGCAAAGCACCGAGTATAGAGTCCTCGGATGCTACCGCACAGAGCGCGACTGCAAGATCTCTGACCCAGACGGCGACAACCTTGTCTTCTGTAGGGGCAGCTGCAGATCGGGGGTCACCACTGGACGCAATGAGTGCCGAGACGGACGGATTGGGGATGTTCAGTAGAAGCGCCTTGCCTACGGCATCAGGAACCGTGTCGTAAACTTCGGCCTCGTATTGTTGACCGCCTTTGGGCACCCGAGCGATGATATATCTGACGGCGTTCTCGGCCAGGCTGACTTCGTGACGCGTATCGCTATAGAAAAGATCGACAACCTCTCTCATGATCGTCTCTCTGGAAACCTTGCCCAATGGGTCTTTTGAGGATTGGCCGGATGGTATCAGGCGCCGAGATGCGGGCACTGTCTGTTTGATTTCGCCCTGTGCACTGAAGGCCCGTCCAAGGACTCGTGCAGCCCATAGCAGGTAACCTCTCCCAACGTTCGGTCTGCGGCAGGATTCCCAAACGAGTCCAGCATAGTCGGAAGCATCCTGATCCTCGCCAAGAACATCCTCACGAGCTGTTGCGGCAAGCTGGAAGCGTTGACATAGCAAGTTCAATGCAACCTCGCGAGATGTTCTATTGAGGAGTTTGCGGCCAGATCGTACATCATTTAATATCTCCACAAGCAGCGTGCTCTCTTCACTGCCACGGATGCTGTTGCCTTCCACACGAACTTGCGACGCAGCAGTGACAATAGATTTGAACGCCCTAACTGGTGCCAATCTTTCCTTCAGAGCTATGGTGTCTGCGTGGGATTTCAGGTATTCAGTGAGCCAGGTATGAAACCTGTTCGCCATATTCATAGTTGCCGTATGTTGCGACTGCTGCGTAGTACTTTCTTGGTCAATGGTCAGGAAAACACGGATGGATATCAGGATCGAAAGTCCAATGCCGGTCACAAAGCTCAGCTGCTGTCTTAAGTACTGAGAGCCGCGCTCGAACAAATGCTGCATGATACCCACTGTATCTGCGGCGCATTGCATATCCGTCAGAAACGGGCGCAGAGACTGTAGCGTCATCTGAAGTGGGTATCCCTCGTAAGCCACCGGGCCAGCTAGAGCAATGACAATTCTGATTTTGCGAATGACGGACCTGGCGTGCAAGGAGCCCAGAGCTGGATGTATGCGATCCAGCAGAGCGCGCATGATGTATGTGAACGTGCTTGGGTTCCAGAACCCAACAGGGTCGTCGCCCGTCCGTCGGCACAGTCTCTCAAGTTGGTCCGGCAAATAGAAAGCATTGAAGGACGGCTCCGTCCCTGAGTTGAGATCCTGTGTCGAATGGCTGATATTGACCATCTCTGTCAAAATTTTGGCGGCTGGCGTGAAAGCAGGCTTCTTCTCGAAAGACTTCTCGATACGATCTTCTTGATCGATTGTTTGCAGTATGCAAGCGAGTATTTGTGGAAACTGTTTCTGGACGAGATCAAAGTACTTATCACTGCCCATGAGGTCCTTGAGCAGGTTGGCCCAGCTCGGTTGTGCCTTATCCCGAGCATAGCCTCTGCAGATATCCCACGATATGGTGTAAGCTGCTGCTTTGCTGACATTTCTGCAGAGCAGCTCACTGACGGACGAGCCCAATGATTCTGCCAGAAATTCGAGCTCATCTTTCCGGCCGAACATTATCGCCTGACCCACTGCTTCTGCTTCAACGTCCCGAACAAGGTCCGCCAGAGCGTCATAGCCAAATGTCAGGAACGGTATGGAAACGATTGTGTTGCCTCGATCCAGCCAGGTGAAGAGTATCTGGGGAGCAAAAAGTCGGAAGAGTTGCTGCGCGCTCGCCATACTTCTGGAATTCGCCACATTGGCAATGCATCTTCGAGCGTGTCGAGCAGCTTGCTCAACTGATCCAGCTGTTGCAAAGATGCGGTAAATGCTTGAGCGCAACAACGTGTGCCATTGTGATGCCAGCTTTGACAGCACGAGCAGTCGAAGGGCAATCCCTTCTAGGCCATCATCTTCACCAGGCAGACTGCTGTCCACGTCCTGAAGGATCTTGTCATGCTCAGATAGCACAAAGTCTTCGAACATTGAAGGCAAGCGCTCGGCGATGTGGTACTTCACGGTGATGTCGCTCTCAGAAAGGAGTTCGAAGAGACTGGTTCGGACAGATGGCACCTTGGGATTTTGCCCAAAGTTTGGATGATGTTTGAGCAGACCGTAAAGGTAGTCAGCGATAATCTCACGTAGGTGTGTCGATCGTCTGACACCATTCTTCTCCAACTCTTTGACATAATAGGCGTACATATCTTCGACATTTTCGTAAAGGACCTTGGCCTCGGAATCCTTATCATCCGGGCCCCACACTAGGGCAGTGCCAACGAGAAATTCCACCAGCATCCCATTGGCGACCTCAGAAGTGTTATACTCACGCGCGCGAGGAGATACAAGGGCATCGCTGAGTCGCTCGAGGACATTCAGGCAGTCGATCCGTGCGAATCGAAAACTGCTGCGAAGAAGCGATCGAATAAATTGACGGGAGCGCAGCAACTCCTTTTCGTCCAGTGAGATGAGATACCTCACGAAACTCGAGGGGATCAGACCCTTGCTACAATCGCTCCTTTCTGAAAGTGCTGCAACTAGGTGCAAGTACGAGGTCGTTGATGCGCGTAGTGCAGCAATATCCGTCTCTGCCTGTACCGTGTGTCGCGGCACATCGTCGTTCATACTCGCTGAATTCGTAGTCATCTGAGAATCGTCTCCATTGTCAATGTCCATGAAGTCATCATCATCCGTGTAGAAAGACTGCTTGACCTCAATGCGATCGCCCAAAGCCTTAGACAGATGCCGGGATATGATGGTGACACCGGTCCGTTTAAAGACAGTGTGACCGAGTTTGCTGTAGGACCTCACATCAGGTAGGCTTTTGGCGCACGTCTCAAGGACAGCGTCGATCTTATACTGCTCGATCTGGGGTTTGGACAACGTACTTACGAGGGCGTGCACTAGCTTGTCGGTGGAGGACTCGAGGGCAATCACTCGGCGGTCTTGAAGATCGCTGAGGCTGGCAATGGCAGGCGCGACGATGCAGAGGTTGGTGACGATGCGCATCATGTCAGAGGTAATGCTCTGAACGTTTGATTGTGTGGCTTCCTGCCATCGCTCTGTGGTTCTGTCGACTTCTGATAGACAGTATTCCAGGATTTTAATCTCCATGTTGGTTGGCTGATGCTCGGTGATGGAAAAATGCGACACAGGTGGCTCTGCAGGCATCTGTGTCAGGAAAGGCAATCCATCCTCCAGCAATAGGAGATAATTCGTGAGAGTGTGGTACCGAGCTTTCCACGAACAGGCTTGAGAGATAGGTCCAAGAACCAGAATAAGCGTTGGCTCCGGAAGATTGGGTGGCACGTCCAAACAAGCATACACGATCTGCAAGATATCACGAGCGTTGCAATGATGCGCGTTTGTTGCAGCGTACAACCTCTGATCCCAGAGACCTGAAGATGTTAATCGATCATCTCGGCTGATAAAAGATGTACTTACTAGGTGTCCACATGCTGACCAGCCAGCTTATTATCCTCTCGGCACTCTGATTGAAATGAGTCGGGTTTTCCTTCATACGCTCGCGCAAAATGGCTGTCAGCAAAGACGAGCTTGAATCTGTGAGTGATGAAGGCCCCGTCAGTTCGATGGAGATGAGCATGGATTGGATGGTGTCAGAAACGGCAGTGAACGGTACGATTCCGACTTTCAGTAGGACGTTCATCAAATGACACGCCGGCCGAGACAATGAAGGTGAGGCAACAGCCCGAGCTGCAGTCTGCCATGCAGAGATCCAGGACGGCAGGAGCGTGTGATGTTTTGCGGTCGCTTGAAATGCGGCACTAGACAGTTCAGCAAGTCGACCACGAGATGTGAAGTGTGACTTACGCAGCCAAAGCAACCATCGCCCAGGTGGAGTGCGTTACGTTCTCCTCCGACATGCACGTGTGAAGCTTGTCCATCACAGTCTGGAGCCTGTCCTCATCGACAGGTCCTTCTTGGATCGAGAAGGAGATTATCTGAAGCGCCGCTCGTTTAGCGTTCGAGCGCGGCTCTGAGATGTGCCGAGTGTATTCATCAAATGACAGATCAGTACGGGCGCGTTTTGAGAGACTCTCACCGTTTATTCTGCGGTCGTGTGCGACCTTTCGTTTTCGTTCATCGAGCATAGACGAGAAGCGTGCAATGGCGTGGACAGTACTCCACAAGCCTTCAGGCTTTACGTGTTCAGTTTCCATAGAGAATGCCAAAGTACTGAGGGGATGACTACTTGCATCAGCTGCGCCGATGTGACGGAAGCAGAGATGATCTTCTTCGAGATACTGGTGCATCGTGGTCTCTTTCCTCGTTCGGTAGTCTGTATACATCGTTTCCAGTACTACCTCAAGGGCGACACATGTTGTTGTGTCTTCGACATCGGCGACAAGGCTTGAAATGTGAGCTTCTGTGTACGTCAATGTAATCAAGATCTCATCACGAAGCAATTGCTCGGTCCACATGACGTTCATCAAGGGTAGCAAGCTCTTTATGATGCGCTTCGACAAATCCAGCATTTGCAAGGCTGTGCGGGCAAGGACAGCGTTGATTCCAGCCATAGCAGCTGCGGCGACGCTGCCACGCCCACTCCTCCGCTTCAAGAAGTACAGGAGTGCCGTCATGATTGCTTCAGCTTTACCTGAGACAGGCGCATTGGTTGCTTTGACCAGTGAAAGCAGGCATTGAATGAAGTCTTCAGTGAAGTGGGAAAATTCGTCAGTTACTGATTGGATACGTGCGACAGGCTCTCGGGGACTGCCTCTTGCCATGGACGCATCAGTGGACTCAAAGGGAGTGCGACCGCGACTCGAGACATTGGTGCTCCAGCTGTTGGACGCTTCCTCTTCGGCTCCTGTCGACGAGCCAGCCAAGGAGTCGATGCAGAAGTCGACGGCAGCTTTCCAGCAGGCTAAAGACAGGCGCTCAACGTGCGGTTGGTAGTCGAGTAACAAGCGCAGGGTCTTTGGGAGATCTTGGAGTAGCGATTTCACGCGCGGGGGGTCCCTGTTGGGCAAGACTTCAATGATGGTGTCAATGATAGCCTCGACTGTCGAGCTTCTGACTGTCCGTATGCCAGCAGCTATGACGAGCCGCAAGGCGATTGCGCATTTTGTGAGATTCTTGCTGGGTTCTGTCGCTTTCTTGGCCGTGCTCTTAAGGACTTTCACGCGTTCATCTTTCAGAAATTGGAATAATGCCTCGCATAGCGCCAGATACGCCTTGTTTCCAAGTGCCTCCAAGCTGGGCTTGCCGCGGTTGTGTTGGAGGATGTGGATGAGGTCGTCCAGGCCTTTTCTGCGAGTCGTGATGTTTGTTTCTTCGAGGAGGACTGCTATGGTGAGTAAAATTAGGAGGGCGAGCGCTGTTGTTCACTTACGCTTCGCATCCTGGATAGTTGGGGCACGCTTCGCATCCTGGATGGTCGTGGCACCCATCTTGCCTACGGTCGCCGCTGAAAGGTGACTCGATGGAAGGCGAGCATGGCCAGAGGGCAAGAAGTGGGGCGACTGGCTTCTCAGCGGCAGGACATGATTCCCTGAAGCTCCGCGACCGCAAGACACGTGCGAAACCCGCGTACCTCACTCTGGTGGTGGTGTTGCTGCGGAGCTGCGACGGAGGTGCTTGCCGTGATGGTCGCCGCCAAGAAGCAAGTCGCGTCCAAGCTCCACCCGCGTCCCGCGAAAGTTCGAGCTGGGTCATGGGAGGAAAATACGGCCCAAACACGCCCACAATCGCCTCCACTCACCTGATACCCCGTCTATGCTGCCGGCGCACGATGCGCAGTGACCCCCAACGACCCTTACATGGCTGAAGAAGACGATCTCGCGGCCCTCCAGGGCCTGCACCGCGATCTCTGCGCGCACATCGACCTGCAGCTGCCGGTGCTGGACCGCCTGCTGAACAACCTGGAAGCGCATCTGGAGGAGTTCAAGACGCTGCTGGACAAGAAGCCGAAGAATGACGCAAGCAGACGGCTACTCGCGGGCGGGAAAATCACCATCGACGACAACGAATATGAGGTCAACGATGACTTCAAGCAGCAGACGCTCGAGCTGGCCGATGCCCTGGACCTGGACGAAGTCGACGCCGCAGCGCTGTTCATGGCCGCTGCAGCTGAAGCCGCCGAGCTGGACCGCACGCAGCTGCAGACCGCCGTCATACGCTTCCATCGCCGCCGCGAATACGTCCTGCTTTGCTTGCGCATCCTCATGAAGACCGCGCTGGACAACGGCGACAACGCGGAGACAGATGTCGAGGGCATGCCGGCGTTTCAGAGGGCGGTCCAGATCATACTGGGCGTGGAAGGCGCCGTGAACCTCGTCAACGCGTATGGATACTGGAACAAGTGTCTGACTGGCATGTCGAACGTTGAAAAGTGGCTGCAGCAAATCTTGGAGCGCGTCCAGAGCACCCAGATTGTTGGACAGGTTCCACTCCCAGGTTTCGTCGAGATCATGGACTTTCAGCGCCAGAGTTTGACACGACAGCACGAGAATCTATCTGCCATCTGTACGCACATGATCAAGGCTGGCTACGTGAACCTCGATAACTACAAGGCGCTGTTAGCGAAGGCGAAGACTCTCGAAAGACACGACATCATCACGATTCACTATGTACCCATCATTATTCGATTGACAGGCTGGACAGCAACTGAGAGCAATGTCATGTTGAGAGATGCACGGTCCCTTCACGACTCGCTGATGGCGGAGCGGGATACCTCCAGCTGGGCGCTAAGGAATCTGCATGCAGCGACTCTGGCTTGGTGGTTGGCAGAGTACAGTGGCCGATACGTGGACCCCAACGACCAGGAACCTGCCGTACGAGGCGTCGATCTGAAGGCCGAGGCTGAGAGGCGATCTGAGCAGTTCATCAGGTCACTCAGCGAAGGCGCATTCCACTTCATGCTCTCCATCAGCCAGGATGTGCGACCAACAAGATGGTACGACCCACAAAAGACCAGCATGCTTTCGACGCTGCTGCAAGACACCGCTATCCTCAGTCCGGAGACCACACAGCCTGACGACTTCTTCAAGATTCTGATGATGGAGCAGCTGCAGACTTTCGTAGACTCCTTCATCACCCACATGCCAGATACGCTGCGGAAACTGAAGGTCGAGGAGGACGACCAACGAAGAAGGCTCCAACTACAATTCCAGCGATCAACCGGTGAATTCCCATTGCACCTCGAAAGATTCATGATCATTGTTGCCTATGCTTTCGATGGCTTTTCCGATGCAGCTGGTGATTTCTGGACCGATAAAGAGAGCAATCTTTACGGTTTTCTTCAATGGGCGGCAAAGCGGCAGCCAACGCCTCGCATCGCCATGTTCTGCGAGATGTTACGAGCGATCTCGACCGATCAAGAAAACGCAGACTCGGCGCACAAGTTTCTGCTCGAAGAAGGCGCCTCTGCGACAGGAAAGATCCGGCGCACAAGCTCACTGAGCTATACACACATTTTCAATGAGCTGGTGGAATTCGATCGAGACATTCATGAACCGAAGAAGGCTATTCAGATGGGTCTCTTTACACAGTCTCAAACGCCAGCCGATCAGATTGTTGAGCCCGAGAGTGCAACTATGTTGGAAAGCTATCTTCGCCTGCTTGCGCATTTGTGCAGGCACAGTTTCGCTGCACGTCAATGGATCCTCGAACTCAAGGAGTATAACTATTTGGGTATCTGCTTTGGCTTGTGTACCGACAAGGTCGAGAGTGGGCTCCGAGCAGCGGCATATGACGCATTGGCAGCTTTGCTGGTAGGCAAGGATGTCAATCGCGCAAGCATCGTCTGGAGTGCTCTGGACGACTGGACTGTTAGTGGCTTCTTTGTTGCATCGAAGCCCAGCAACGCCCTCGTTTCAGCGCCGAGAGATGAGTTCTGGGCTACTTTGGCTGACGGTTATGATGAGGCAATCGCTTTTGTACGACTACTGCATAGCCTTATTGAGCCATATCCTGACAGCGAAGGCCTCAACGATGGCTTGCCGTTCCCGGAAACTCTGGGGTCTTCACGCAGGATGCCAGGCATAGAGGGTTACGTCGATTTTGTCATGCAGCAAGTGTTCGCAGAGCGCTCGCAAGAGATCCTTGACCCACTACAGCGCAACGTCATGAGATGGACATGCCTGCGTTTCATCGTGACCTGCCTGTCAACGTTCAACGAGAACCTCGTCGTCTTCGCGAACAAGTCCAGCATCCCTGTCGACGCGGTCATCGACTCCTCATCGCTCGCTGCCTATATTGCCATGCACCCCTTCACCCGGGTCATGGAATGGCTGTTCAACGACAAGGTCGTTAAAGCTCTCTTTGCTTCATCACATCACGATGTCAGTGAGGTTGATGCATCGCCGTCAGATTCTCCCTTGGTTCAGACACTGATGCTGAGCATCGAAGTCATGGATCAGGTCATGAAGCTGCAGGCCACCTACCTTGACATTGTCAGGCCTGCGCTTAGGCAGCAATCACCACTGCATGGATCTCCAGTCTTCAATCTCTCGTTGGCGTCATTCGAAGATGCCATCCTCAACAATTTGCAGATCGTTGTTGACCTAGGTTTGTACTGTGGTACTGGTCATGAGGCTCTGACTATAGCTTCCTTACAACTGCTACAGAAGCTTGCATCATCGAGGAAGCTCGCCGCATCACCAGCTGGGTTTGGACAACGAACTGGCCGTAGTAAGGCTGTTGGCATACTGGAGCGCGACAATGAAGCAGATAGAATTGGTCGATCTTTGCATGGCTTGATGCGATTCAGCGCTGAAGAGTTGGAAGCCGGTGAGGAAGCATCAGGCTACATCGTCAAGCTTCGCGTGCTCGAGTTCTTGAACAGCTGTCTTGCAGCCGTGTCGACAAGGCCTACCATCGCCCATATCCTGCTCGGCTTCACTTGTGAGAGCACCACCGTCCGCATCGAACCAGACAGCTTATGGTCGAACGGGCAATCGCTCTTCCATGCTATTCTTCTGCTGGCCGTCGAGTATCCTGACAACGATACAGAGCGGTTCCTGGCCTGGCGATCAGAGCTCAAAACACGTTGCTGGGATGTTCTCCAGAAGCTGTGGCGTTCCCCGCTGACCAGCGCCATCGTTATGGAAGAGCTACGAGATAACGAGCTCCTTTTCGTCGAAGCTCCCCGCTTGATGCCGATTAATGTCGATGTTCGCTGGGAAAGTCTCTCGCTCGCAGAAGGTCTGGAACTCCTCGCGACGGGTGACTTCTCTGAATTCTTCTCCGGCCCGCCGGCGCTTGCGCTGCAGAACTTCCTCCAACGGAGAGCCGCCTTTCTGGACTACAAATCAAGAGAGCTGCGCTTGACGATCAAAGAAGGCATGCCAACTATGAAGTCAAGAATACAGTCCTTGCTTCTTGGTCAGACGATCCTACCCGGAGAGGACTCGCTGCCGAACCCCACCATCTTCGACCTCTTCGATTTTATCGAGTTTGCGTACCCAGAGCGTAGCTTGCCTGACCAGCATCGCTTCTTTGAAGGTGTCAACCTTGCCTCGTGCCAAGAAGACAAAGATGGTAGCCTCTTGTACTCGCTGCCGTTACTGCAGCAAGTCATTCTGCTGAAAATGAAATTCTGGCGGAAAGACGGTCTGATCACTGATGATCTTCAAGAGACAGAGCTGGCTCAACAGGCGGAGCTGCTACTGGCTGTTTTCGCTGATTGGAACCGTCGATCACAGTTGACACGTTATCACAAGGACATTCTCCAGTCCTGGGTACAAGTGCTGGTGGTCGCGGTACACAGCTGCGACTTCGATGACGGGGCAAGGGCCTCGTTCATCCTTCAGACACTACAAGTCATCCTTCCAAAGCTGGAGCAAGCATACAACGGTGACGTCTACACCGCGTTGCAGCTTGCCGGTCTGGCTGAATCGCTCATTCAGAAGGTCGACTTCACATCGACAGCTTTCGACAAGACAGGCGACTTCTCGAACGATCGTCTTAGCCAGCTCTTCCGTGCCGCGCTCACAGGAATCTACAGCCCAATATCCATCCCGGAGCTCCGTGAGTACTGCTATCAGATCTGCTTCCGCTACATCCACGGCACCTTTGAGAAGGCAACACAAAGCTCCCCACTCGGTCGCCACACACTGAACTCCATCAAGAATGGCGGTAATCATCTTCTCGAAATCATCTGCGACGACGCATACAGCGGCTCCGGTACGTGCAAGGTATCCGCACTTTTGCTATTAAACGCACTCGTCGCAGTCGCCACACGACAGCAATCAAAGTACATTCTCGAGACCTTCGTTTCACTCAACTTCATCGGCGTCCTCGTGGACAACGTCAAGCACATCCCCGAGGAGCTCAAAAATGCAGTTGCACCGCAAGTCTCCAGCCTACTTTCATATTATGAAGCCAGTCTGGCTCTGCTGCTGCGCATCGCCCAGTCTCGCCTCGGCGCCGCATACGTCCTCAACGCCGGTCTCTTCCCCGCGATCCGCGACTCGCAAATCTTCGCTGTCGATCCTGACATCGGTCTCGAATTCGATAATCCCAATGCCCTGAAGAAGTACTACGAGCTGATGCTCAGTGTCTTAAGAGTCGTCAACGCAGCGGTGATTGCGAGGGGGAGGCAGAACGATCAGATGGTATTTCAGGCTCGAGAGTTTTTGAAGGAGAACAGGCAGAGCATGGTTGCGGTGTTCAAGAGGAGCATCAACGTTGGCGGCGGAGAGAAGGTGGAAGCGCAACAGGATCTTGTGGATTTGGTGGATTGCTGGACGATTTTGGTAGAGGTCACCAGGTTTCTCGAGGTAGGTCCTGATGCTCTCCCCGAGACGAGACGTCGCACTGACACTTTGCAGTATGAGGACTCGTCCGTGCTGAAGAAGACGAGAAGCAATTTGTTTTCGTAGATCTAGCGATTTGCGTGTATCAGCGATCGCGAATTCAAGCGAGCGATAAGTCACCAATACAAAAGCATTGAAGTTGCGCATCAACATCATTTCTGACTAGATTACTGGGGTTTGAACATGGCCGAGATGCTACTCAATCGTATCAGCATGCAGCCACACGCTTTTTGTGTACTATCGAACTCACTACTGCGCCTGAGGAAAAACCTGGTCCACCGCTTTGTTCGCACGGCCGATGCCACTGTGCCAGCACTCGCTGTCATAGCCATTGATAGCGAGAGACGTGCTCAAAAAAGCAGCTTGCTATATACTGCGTCTCGTTCGCGCTGCTTGCAGATAGCGCGGCCAAGCCCAGCGCGAGCGACGTCCTCGTGGAACTGCTGGGTCGACTTAGATTGCTTCACTGCCATTGTGATCATGGGCGGGGCGGGATGTTGAATTGTTCTTTTTACTGGGTGGGTATCACGCATACTTGCTTATGTAACCATTATGAGCTATCTTGAATGCAGTACAACGAACCTCTAGAAGCTTATAGATGGAGGACGCCTGGCTGATGTTGTAGGCACAAGATAGTTCGGAGGAACCTGCTAAGCTTTTGAGAGCTAGCCTGATACGGAAGGGCGCCTCTCCCCCACGGTAATTCCTCGCCCCGGCAGCACCGGTGAACGCAACGCCTTCGCTCGCCTACCGTCGCGTAAAGCGGCATCGAATCAGGCTGCGCGAAGCGATTAGCCTAGGAGATCAGCATCAGGCTTTGCACCTTTGGACTGCAGGTCGAAAAATAACCCTGGCACATCGTCAGCAGGATCGATCGCTCCACCAAAAGGCCAACGTTCACATTCATCTCCAGGACCATACCATGCGTGCCTTGAGAAAGACTCCTCATGAAAGGTTGGGTGTCTGACAAGTCTTCTCGTTACAGGTCATGGATACGGGCTTGCTGTATGCACGAAAGCGATGCGATTCGGATGAGGTTCGACAATATAGTTCGTTATGAAGAGAAAGCTACATTGCCTACCAGATAAGTGACCTATCTTGATTAGGGTATCGGTTGAAGATGACTACAAAACTGACTGAGAAAAAACTAGAGCGAAATGAGTCTGTGTGACTCGGCCTAGGAGCGAGACCAGCTGCTCAGTGTGTCCCAGCACTTCCAGTGAACCGACCGCAGACCAGACTCCCAAGAAACACGCCAGCAAGAACGGACAAAAAGTACCCAACGTTGAAGGTCATCACCGCGAGCATCCTACATTCAAATTAGCTGAAGCTTCTTAGCGCTCGGCATCCAGTGTACTCACAGCAGATAGCTCACACCTGCGACTACAACATCCAGTGCCGCTACCATGACGGCTTCGTCCGCCCTCCATGGCCTTGGCTTCGTCTTATCCTCCATGGTATGCGATTGTATTAGTCCATTGTACCGGTTCTGCCTTACAGCAGCGAGAATGCCGAAGAAGTTGAGGCGAAACGCCAGCAATAACCTGAACATCGTGCCTAGTGCGATCAGGAAAATGCAAATCCCGGCATACTCTCCGGTGCTGTGAGGCGTAAAAGATGCGGACCAAAGAGGCGTGGAAGAAGAGACGTAGAAGACCATGGCCATCGACTCGGCGTCCATCGCCATCGAAGATGATGTAGACGTCGACGATGACATTGCCATGGTGCCTGTCGCTGTCGCAGACGTCATTGACATTGACATGTCCATGTTCGGCTCTAGTCTTGGGTGGTTGCTGCGAAGTATGGAGTTGGACTGGTTGCGATGCTGGTGATCTCCTCAATCACATGCAAAGAATGTCAAGGTCCAAAAGTCTGGCCAAAGATCTTGTGCTGTTGGTAATGACGGATGTCAAGCCGGTCCAGTAGTTTCGAAAGAGTGGTAAATGGATGATTGTAAGGTGTCAGGGCCAAAGCAGCTTCACGTCGGGTAATAACAATCATGAATTCCTCCTCACTGGAAAAGCGCAATGCGCAGGCAATCATCGGAGGCACGCGTTAACTTGCTCAAAGTCGCTCGAACACTCGCTCTTGACCGCAACAGGACTAGACCCAGACCGAGTCGCTCCAACCTGCGTCGCAACACCTGCCGCAAGATAAGTCAGCCATACATGAACATAAACGCCTCCAATCAAATCATGCTCAGATGCATTCATGGCGCTGGTAACTGCGTTTCCGGCGCGATGGTCGCGTCACAATTGGCAATGGCTTAAGGTCTCGTTTAGCAAAGCTTAACACAGTGTGCAGGTGTTAGACAACGCTTATCTTGCGATCCCCGACCTACTTCAGATTCTTGAACCCCATTTCTACGCTCTACAACCTTGAACAAAGGCATTTACTTGCTATCGAATACAGGATTTGGTACCATGGCAAGCTGGCTTACTTATCCACTGCAGCTGACAGGGGGTCGCGAATTTACTTGCGAAAAATTCACCGAAGAGCAGTGCAGCTACTACATGCAGCGATGGCACTTTTGGTACGCGAAAGGTTACAGCTCCGTAATTACACTTCTAACATCATGTCATCAGGTACATCGCCGACTACGTCTACGCTCTACCAACAGTGGCTTTCTTCATGAGTACTATCGGTGTCTTCGTCATTGGCCATATCATATCATCGCAGGTTCTGGGATACTGTGCGACGAGAGGTCCTCGCGTCTGGCTGCAGCTGATTGCAGTCATTCGATATCTCTCATACCGCGGTTTCCATGTCAAACCGCTGAAATGGAATACAGCGCCAGTTGGACTGCTGATTCTAGGAGCCATAGGGGCAGTCTACTTCTTTTGTGGGTCAAACCCGACATATGCATCTCAAATATGCAGGCCACTACTGACACGCCCAATCCTAGGCATGGATTTAATCCCACAGCCGTACTACTGGTCGAGCGAGCATTTTGGTCACTCGCCACCACTTGGTACAAGATCAGGCTGGATGGCATTAGCCTGTATGCCATTTGTCTTGTACGTCAGTCGGAGTACCCCGGACGTCTTCACACTGACCATTTGTAGTGCAACGGCAAGCAAGACAAACTGGATCACCCTCACGACTGGGGTTTCCCACGAGAAGATTCAGGTCTTCCATCGGTGGAGCGCTTATGCGTTCTTCCTTCTGGCATTGATGCACACATTTCCGTTCATTGTCTACCACATTCGGTTCCACGATATGGTATCGCAAGTCACGATGATGAATACCTTGTTCTACTGGACCGGCATTGTGGCGCTTATCTTCCAAGCTTGGCTCACCTTCGCCTCGCATAGCATGATGAGGTCAGTCACAATACGGCTGATGATACGGGCTCGAACTGACGTGGCGCAGACACATGAGCTATGAGTTCTTCAAAGCGACTCACTTCCTTGCTGTCGTGGTATTTGTCATAGTCTTCTTCTGGCACTGCGACTACACGCTCACTTCCTGGTCAGCTATCTTTGCCGTTGGCTGGTCATTGGTGCTAACATGTCAAAAGGCACTACTTCGTTGCGACGGCCGCTATCTACGTCCCCTGCTTTGTCTACCCATGGGTTCGCACTGCCTTCGAGTACGGCTTCACCCAGAAGGCTCACATACACATCGAAGGCAATGGTTTCATACGACTTACGATCCCATCAGTTAACATGCGTTGGAAGCCAGGGCAGCATTGTTTCCTGCGGTTCACAAGCTTTGGGCTTCAAGCCTTTTCTTCGCATCCTTTCACCATCTGCTCACTACCTACGATTCGAGCGAACGAGACGTCCGAGCTCGTGTTTTACATCCGTCATTCGCATGGCTTGACCAAGAAGTTACACGCATATGCTGAGAAGCAGCCAGGCACCCCTGTATCTGTGCTCATCGATGGCCCATACGGAGGCATCAATATTCAGAGATTCAACGAGGCAGATCGCTTGCTCGTCATTGCCGGCGGATCAGGTGCTGGCTGGATCCTTTCCTTCCTAGAGCTGTTCTGCAGACAGCGCAGTGCTACCACAGCGACTGAAGCAGTGGTTGAGGTGAAGTCAACTACTGATGAAGAGAAGCACGCCGGCAGTTTCGATCTTCGCCGTAGTCTACGAATCATTCTGTCGACTCGCGATGTAGACAGCCGCACTTGGTTCATGGAGACAGTTGCTGAGCTCTTTGCGAAATACTCGATGCTGCAGAGGCCAGACGACATCGCTATCGAAGTTCATCTGACCGGCGAAACAGAGGGGACCACCGGCATGACACGGTCGAGTGGAGATGACCTAGTCTTTTCATTGTCTTCAGATAACATCAAAATCAAGACCAAGAGCGACCATGTCAGCGCGCCAAAAACGGACTTCTCCGGCCGGCCTGACTTGCCGCTTGTTGTACAGAAAGAAGGTGAAAGAGCAGTAGCGGAGGGCAGTGCATTGAGCGTTTATGTCTGTGGGCCGATCACCATGCAGAATAGTGTACGCAATGCTGTTGCAAGGGAGAATCTGGGAATAGTCAAGGGAGCAAAGTCTTTCGGAGTATATCTGCACTCAGAACACTTTTCGTGGGCGTAAGGTACTAGACATTGTTGCGGTGCAAGTCGGTCCTATAGGCCTTGATCGTTACCTCTGTTGACTGCCTTGGACTAGCACGTCTCAGGACATGTATATATGGCCGCCTCCTAGCTAGCAAGCAACTCAGCGCAGTTTTCCATCAATACATAGAGCAGCTACGTCTGCCGGGAGAGGCATGATTACCACCCACGATATTAATCAAAATTGCTACACAAAGCCTCTGAGCTGCGCTGATGCCTCGTTGGCGCGGAGAGACTTCCCAGGGTGCAGTAGTATCCTCCGTCGACTCGTGCAATCTCGTTCGTCGTGCTGTTTGCTGACCGAGCGCCAGGGGTTGTGTTCAGATGGCTATAGTAATCAGAGTCAAGCTACACGGGATCATGATGCCCCATAGTCCAATCGCCGACCTTCAACCTTTATGCTATAGTGAGATTGTGGTTATTTATAAAATGACCAGCAAGCGATCCCGGATAATGCACAGTAGTAGGAGTGAGCCTCTTGTGACTGCGCACTATGTTAAGGAAGGAGATGGGAGATCCCCAAGAGCGATGTCCAAGCACCAGCTCGGTACAGTATCGGGGTCTTCTGGTCCAAATCCCCAATCTGCTCGATGCGCTTCACCGTTGGCCTTGGCATTGATGCGACTGCTCTATGCAGATGCAGCCGGTGGGAAGGAGCTAGAGTCTTACTAGCTCACTTTCACAATAGGAACCATGTTCAAGGCACGTTCGACCGGGTATTGGACAGCTCGCTGTTTGAATTCGTATCTCCAGAGAGTTTGCCGCCTATTCATCACTTGCTTTGCATGCGTGATCTGCACGTCAGTCGTAAGGGCCTCATGATGCGCGCACCGTTCGATGAGAACTGAGTGCATTTTCGACACTGCGAATCGTCTCTTCCTGTCCCTGCAATGGATCTACGTCCAAAATGACCCAAACGCCATAGTATGCTGCCTGCTCCGTCCGTATACACATCGCAGTGTTGTAAATAGGGTACTGTACAGTCATCCGATGTTCCCTCCTCAACTAAATTGAGTCGTTCTTCTTCGTTCACCTGAACTCAGCCTTCCCTGTGATGTCCTTGATCTCCTCGAACTTTGTGCCCATCTTCACGATAGAGTATCGAATCATACGAGGGTCGAGCGACATTGTCTTTCGCAGCGAGTGTTGTGCGCGTGCGCTGGCATCGAAGCGCATGATGAAATAGTGGCCGTAGTGGTGTGTCGTCTGCAGTTTCTTCATGGCCTTCGGGAGCAGGAAAGTGCCCCAGTTCGAGACGCCGCGCACGACGCCGTTTCGCTCTAGGACGATCTTGCCGGCGGTTTTGGCGATTCTGAGCCCTGAATATCAGTATGAATCTCTGAAGATTGCTGTTCGAACTGGGGGCGGTGGTGCATACTCTTTTACTTCGGTGAGACGGCCGGGCCGTACCTGCCAATGTCAGCGCCCTTTAATCCCCAGCGAAACTGTCACAAAGGCTACCATACCACTCCTATCATTTCGTACAACATGGTGACCTATTGTTTGGTGTCGCCGTCGTGGTCGCGCGCTTTCCCTCGCAAAAGGTGGTCGCTTTCGGAAAACGTTCGCGCGCCTTTCGTATCGCCAGCTCCGCCATCTAGCGCGGCTTGGCGTTGTCGTACCTATCTCACGGCAGCTCTCCCGAGCTCCATGAACTGCAATTAATTCTCCTTCCACACACGAGATAATTCGCACAATGGCCTCTCGATACTCTGTTGCTCGTGCTGCGCGCCAATTGGCTTCTGCTATGGCGAAAAGGCCAAGTCCTTTTGCCTGTCAGCAGTGGAAGCAGACCGCGCAGAAGCCCCGGCTATTCACGGTGTCTGCCCAGTGTACGCTTCCTGAGCTTCACCATAGCGATTGAAGAAAAAAATGAGATTACTGACTGGCTACAGTGAAGGAAAAAAAGTACACCGAGGACCACGAGTGGATTGAGGCCTCCGCCGACGGCAAGACATGTATGTTAAACCGCATAAGTTGCCTTGTTGACCTGAGCATTATGTTCTGCATAGCAGCGATTGCCAACGCTGACCTTCGACTAGACACCCTCGGTATCTCCGAATACGCTGCGAAAGCACTCGGTGACGTCGTCTACATCGAACTCCCCCAGATTGACCTCGAGGTTGGAGAGGGCGACGCCATTGGCGCCGTCGAGTCTGTCAAGTCTGCCTCAGATATCCTCACACCCGTCAGCGGGACTGTTGCGGAGGTGAACGCGGCGCTGGAGCAAAAGCCGGGCGATATCAACAAGGATCCTGAGGGTGAGGCTTGGATCGCGAAGATCACCGTCTCTGAGGAGCCTGCTGGCAAGCTAATGAGCGAGACTGAGTACAAGAAGTTCACGGAGGAGGCATAACTGCTGCAGATGACACATACCCCATGCTTGAGTAATGAACGAACAGAAGAGTATTGCTATTCGTCACATATTTGCTTCCATTGAGACCGTGCGGTTTGGTTTTCTCGTCGAGTTTGTTATGCTAATAGGCATCGTAGCATTGTCTGTCTCTTGTGTGAGATAGGATTAGCCTTGTCCCAAATTACGGCATTGAGGACGGTTCGCACGCGCTGGGTGGTCTGCACAAATCAATCAATCGCGGTCAGGCAGCGAGCGCCCATGCATCATCAGTGGAAAGCATCACCCAATGACTACCCGCGAGCCGCCCAGGCCACGACATCCACCAGACACACAGGCCCCCTAGTATCACAGAGTGTTCGACTGCACGTCTAAAGACTAGAGCACACCTGATCGTCACAGTCCACCGAGCAAAGACCATTTACGCGAAGCACAGTTAATCTACAATTCATAATCTATATAAATTTGGAAAAATACCCGTACTCTGAAGAGTTCCAACAGACGTTCTTGTATCTTCCTCGTTTGGCCTTTGAGTTGTGAACAAAAGTCGTGATCTGATGGGACGCGTTCCTGAGGCAAACGGTGCCCCACGTCTTCTCCGCCAGGATTGCCAAGAGCCATGAAACACCACGCGAAACCCACCATCATCCGCCCAACACTAACTCTAAGCTCAGCCGTTGCGCAATCGCCCAGCTGTGCCCAGATCTCAGCTAGAGCGTGACTTGAACACGCTGAGCGAAGGTTTCAAACAAGCTTTTGCCCCCCCGAGTCAAGCCTCCTGGACTTGTGCGCCGGCCTGCATACGGCACTGGACAAGCAATTGAGACGTCTTATCTCGAACATGTAGCACGCGCATGAAACCGGTTCTCCCGTACTCCCGTAGTGGAGTCAGAGTCGGTGCTTCTGCTATAACAATGCAATCTCCCTGCATTCGAGCTGAATGGAACCAGACTACTTACTCAAAATGCCGTTCATCAACTCCAAAGGCGCTTCCACACTCGGTCACACATTCAGGCAAGCACACGCTCCCAACTCGGTGTGTGACTGCACAGCTAATCAAGGCCAGGAACTTTGACCAGACGATCATCACAGTCAAGGTCGGCCCAAAGCACGACCAGGAATCATTCAGTTCTCACAAAGAGCTGCTTCGGCGATGCTCAACACATTTCGATCAATGCCTCGGCGAGGAGGAGCCGTCGCCATATAAAGGCTCAGGGCCATCACTGGAGCTCGAGGACGTGAGTCCTGATGTGTTTGATGCTTTCATGATGTGGCTCTATACTGGTTTCATCCCACATCATCTCATTGAGGGCGGAAAAGAAGTTCATCCTCCAACACACGCCATCGACATGAACGGCGCGAACGGTACAACATATCATCCAGAGAGTGGCGATGTCGACACAGCATCATGGGGCATAAGTCTCGAAAACGACGACACCGCCAGCCAAACCTCTGATGGGAAAGCCCCCAGTGCTTCAGAAGTCGCCAGCGCAGACAAGGTCCCGGGCTCACCCAGCGACGGAGATAATCTCAATCCCTCACCTCCGGTCCGCAACCCTGCTGAGAAGCCTGAGCTTCCTAAAGAGACACTTTGCCCGTGCTGCTCGCGTCCGTACAAATGGCGGGGCCTTGAAGGCTTTCTGGAACGTCGCTTCATCGCCCTCTACATCTTCGCACACCGCTACTCCATTCCTGCGCTTCGCCGTGCCGTACTCCTCGCCTGGCAAATGAACGACGAGATTTTGCAATCGATGCCCGACCATAGCAACGTCATTGCGGCCTACACTTCTCTTCCCCCGGACTCGCCGCTTTGCCGGTACTTCCTCGACATGTACACCGTGTACTGGAATCCAGATAAGGACAACGAGTTTGCGATCCCGTTACGGAGTCAGCTGCCCCAAGCTTTCTTGTTCGAGTTGGTTACCATGTTGGCGAGAGGCGAGAGGCCGAAGACGGAGAAAGAATGGTGCGAGTTCCACGAGCACGAGAACGATCAGGAGAAGAAGGCCTGTTGTGAGGGGCTGGGGAAGGACCCTATTGCCGTGAAGGCCCTAAGGAGGATAAGAGATAGTAAGGGGTGGAAGGGGTTGGTGTTGAAGAAGGGGAAGCGATGAGTCTCACGCGAAGACATGTTCTTAGTATTCTGAGGTTCAGCGACCCAATCATAGATGTAGTTCTGTTGGAGATGTTGCGCCTCAACGATCTTCAGAGGTAGAAAGAGTTAAGCGAGCAGTAGTCAGATTCCCCTACTAATCTATCTGTAAAGGTAACTAGCTTTTATACTTCTGTCTACCTAAGCCAGACTAGCTTCCTCTAGATTTTGTTCTAGAGTAATCTGTCTTGCCCTTCTCAATCCACATCTGCTGCGATAACAAAGCATACCTGGACTTGTCAGTGTCGCTGAAGCCACAGAATCAAGTGTGTCTACAATCAACGCGGAAGTCCGAGCACTGTTATTTACATCAGTGTCGAATAGCGGTCAGAGCCTCTCACGACCTTGAATCGTGGCTAGACTGGCATGCACTTGACTACTTAGTCGACGCATTACCGTTGTCATATCGAACGAAATTGGCGTTGTGCTCAGCAGGGCCGTCGTTCAAAAGGTGATCCACGAGACTCTTGTCCGCATTGTGTGTGTTCGATCTTGTGGACGAGACGCGGAGATGGTCAGGGCTGAATGTGACATGATCGATGACCATTCGCTTAGCTTGGGCAGGCCCATTACTTTAAGCCGATGCTTACTGAGACATACCGGGTGTTGGAGCTCACTGACGACTAGAGGCTTTGTTGACGCATGCTAGAGAAAAAGATGAATGAAGATTTAGTGAAAGGAGTAGATGAGACTATGCGAAGATGGTCGAGAAAGAAGGCTTGCATTTGCGCGGGTGCTAAGCAAGGCCAATACTGAAGAAGGTCCCGCTGATGAGCCAAAATTCGTCATGCGCACAACGTTCAGATAATATGAAATGTTATTCCGAGGTCGACTCGTGTCAGGATGTGCACGCTTCGTTTCCTGTCCACACACCGCAGGAGCTTAATTTCTGCTCCAAGGTCATTGGCATGTCCACGTTTGTTAGCTCGCCAGCAGAAAAGCCACAGTACAAGAGACATCTCATTGGATAAAAAATTCTTGATTCTTGACATTCGGGGAATGTGCAGGGTTCATAACATTGGATGACGAATGCAAACCTTTCGGACGCCCCACAGGTGGACCCGCGAACAGTGATACGGCCTTTGGCGCGATACAGAAGCTAGAATGTATTGCCGAGCATGACTTAAAGTGTCTGTTCTTTGTCAGAGAAAGACTGATTTCAGCTTCCCAAAGCGTGTTGTGGAACAAGATCATTACAAGGCCACTCTGAGGGTTCTCGAAGTTTGCAGCGCAGTTGATGCACTTGCATGTTCCCACGCCAAGCACTCAATGCGTCGACCTTCAGGCACAAATTCGCCACCTTTCCCCAATGTATTGGTCAACAGCCACAGTTCGAAGTTGGGCGAAGGACTATCACCACTCAAATAGGGGCAGCTGCGCGCCTTGAAGTTGTACAACTTATACTCATGGATGGACACCGATGCACCTCTCGGGATATCATCCTTTCGTCTGATTCTTCGGACTCCCCTTGACTGTGGCTTTTGTCTGAAACACTGCCTTCATCCAGGACAAGGCCCATAAAGTAGTACTGTAGATGAGCCAGGCTACCATCGTAGAGTAGCCTTAGAAATCGACAGCCTCCAAGAGACGCATGCACCCACCCTTGTGTCGTTACCTCAATTGAACATGTCACCGTTACTTCTTTATTGCACCCCAGTAATCAAATATCAAGCTTAATTAACATGAATGGACTCTTGAGATGTGGGTTTGGGACTGAATATATGCCGGATGACGCAACGTGGAAGCTTAATGGCATCACGAGTGCATAAGAAAGCGTTATAAATTTCGCAAGTGTACGTTCTCCAACCTTCTCAATATACCTGTTTGTCAGTCTGTCGGACGCAGAAATCAACAATATATATCTGGCGGCAGACGCAAACGCTGTATGTATTGATAGAAAACTGCGCCGAAATGATTGCTAGCTAGGAGGCGACCATATATACATGCCCTGAGACGTGCTAGTCCAAGGTAGTCAACAGAGGTGACGATCAAGGCCTATAGGACCAACTTCCACCACGACAATAGAGCACAATTCGGCGCATAGGATTGGTTGAAGAATATTGGGAAGCGTGGCATGGATAAGGCCTGAAACCTCTTTAGGATGCAATATATTGCGGCAGATGCATAACAATAGCCGTAAACGGTCCTTAATTGATTAGAGGAAGATAAGTCAGACTGCTAAGAAAAGAATACGAGCTATTAACAGGAGTGTCGTGCTGAATTTTTCTAATCTTGTTTTTCTTTAAAAGAAATCGATAGTGAAGTTAGAGAGAAGGAAGGTAGAATTAAGGGGAACTAAGACGCACTACAAAGCAACTCTATCACTATAAAGGCAGGCATGAGATCAGAATATGCATTAATAATAACGTAGATTATCACTGAGCCAACCATATCACCAAACTAGCCATTTTCTCTTAGCACGACTAACACACGTTACTACAACTACAACTACTTACTATTAAATAGTAACCTAGCATACTATGTGCTTATATTAGATTTAGAAGATATTTCTGCACCCTCCTAGCACGTTTGTGCGTTGTGTCTAGTCTTGCTGCAGTTCCTACAGCGCTAAATAGTTAACTAAGCTCCTAGTTAACTACCTCTACCCTAAGTCTTTATAGATGGCTAAGCTGCTACAGACGCCTCAGCAGCTACCTGCAATGCTGCAGGGCTATACTTAAGTGTGCCACTATGCTAAATCTACTTTCTCTTACGCGATTTTCTCTTAGTTATTACTACTAATTACTTGTTAAGCTCTTACACGTAGGCCTTAATAAGGATATTTTTATATAGTATCTCTTTAGCCCCTTTTATAAGCTTTAATAACCCCTCTTACACTATACTTAGTAATTATTAGAAGGAGTTGCTTATAAGCTTAGATTAAGACCTAAACTTATATATATTACTTAGCGTCTTAGATTACTACAGTATTTTAGGTAGAGGTACTGCTAGTAGGGTATGCAGCTGCACTTTAAGGCAATCTAACACTACCTATATATTAGTAGGAATAAGCCCTAATACCTTAAAGGCCTTTTAGTAGTTAACCTTTATAAATATATTAAGGAATACATCACTAAAGGCTAGTAGGAAGCCTTCCTTATTAATATAGAAGATATATTAGCGTGCTAAGTCTTAAATATATTAGAAGTACTTATACTTTAATAGTAAGAAATAGACTATTTTAAGTAGCTAGAGGATGTGTAATAAGTAAGGTAGTATATAGAAAGTAAGGATTTTGTTCTCTAGGTAATAGTCCTTAAACTCCTAGTTAAGATAGCTCTTATAGCTGTCTAAGATAAGCAACCTATACACTCCTACCTAATATATCTTTATATGCGTGTTAAAGTGCTTTAACTACTTAAGGCTAAGTATATTATTTATCTAACTATTCTTAGAGACTAAGAGCTTCTAATTGTAGGGTATATCTGTCTCCTTATACTAGGCAGAGATGTGGACGCGTCCTTTGCAGATAATGAAAGGCAGGGTTGCATACCTAGCCACGCAGATGCTCTAGATAACAGTAACCTACTCGCAATTGCCTGGCTAAACAAGCTCTAGCTGAGCACGTCTATCTAAGCCTGTTACAACCTTTAAAGACAAAGTAATACCTATCTAGAACCTAGTTTTATTAAAGTTGTGTATGTTGTTATTGTAAACACTATACTTAACTTAAGTATCCTCTACTAGCTTAAACTATGCGCTAATTATCTTAGGATCTTCCTGTAGTATTCTCTATCTATCCTTAACTTAATTAAAGGCTATTTTAAGCTTATCTAAACACATCACAAGCCTGCCAGCCTATAGTTTACTAACAGGCTCTTTACTACGCACAATAAGTATCTTATTAGCTATATCTACTACTGTACATAGCTAGAGCGCATATCCTTGCGAATTAAGGTTAAGTATAACGTAGTTCACAAGCGAGCGGTCCAACCCAAGCGAGTGGTCCACCTAACAGAGTTAAGATGATTGCAATGCATATGCTGCAACACCACCACCACTTACTGCAATTTGCAGGTGATAGAGATACTATTTAGACTTATTACTATTAGATGCATCTACAATTTCAACTGCACAGGTGCGAGCGTTGTAGCCAGTCTCTCTACAACGTCCGCAACGCCTCTGTGTGCGCACCTTCTTTGCAGGCTCTCTGCCCCCCTGCTGCCTACTACCCTCCCTTTTAGCTATTAAATTAGCTACCTCACCTACTATAAGACTCTCTACTGCCTAAATATACTTCCTCTTTTAACCTCTAACCTCTGTTGCTATCTCTACTGCCTTGCAAAGCCCTGCTATTTCCTGTCACATTAACACGCTATCATGCCCTATCTGTGCAATGCCCTTATTCAGCTGCTTAACTGCTCTAAGCAGAGGAGAAACTAGGGAATCTCTGTGTAGTTGTACACGCTTACAAACTAGCGTTAACTAAGTCTCTATCTTACAGAGGTTACTTAGAGTTTTTAATTCCTATAGGGTGTCCTCTAGCTTTAGTAGAGTTAGTGTATAAAGGACTACATCAAGCTTTAATATCACTGCCTCTAGGTTGTGTAGAACTAGTCTAGCGCCCCTAAAGCCTGCATAGATGTTCTCCTTTGTAATTAACCTCTTAAAAGCTGCTTTAAAGGCTGGTAGGAAAGCCTCCTTCTTAATCTACTTAGAGCTGTACTGTGCTAAGCTACTAATCTTATTACTATATGCCCGCTTTAAAGGTGAAAAGCAACCCACATTAAGTGGCTGCAGCAGATGCAACAAGTAAGCAGGCATACAGAGAATAATAATCTTCTCTTCCTTACAGTGTTTGTAGAACTTATGTGAGCTGTGGCTCTTATAGCTGTCCACAATTAGCAGCCTGTGTGCACCCACCTTCTAGTCTTTTGTATAGGTATTAAAGTGCTTTAGCTAGGCAATACTAAGCTTATTTAACATCTAGCTATTAGGACTAACCTTAATTACCTAATCCTAAGGTAGATTGTGAAACTATAAGGTAATAAGGACCTTGCTAGGGAAGATAAGGAAGGGTAGGATAGTGTAACGGTCTAGACTCTAAAGCTAAAGAAGAGCTAGAGCTAGCCGGTTACATTAGCTTAGCCGGCTTGGCTAAAGCTGGATATATATTATCTACGCAGTTAACTAGACGTCTAGTTAACTTGTGCATGCTATTTAGCAAAAGTTGTTAGGAAGTAGATATCCTTTATTGGCCTTTGGCCAGACTACTACATTAAATCTCTAAGCAGCGCTTTAGAGGCTTTTAAATTTATGTAATTAGAAAGTAGAAAGGGCAAGATTAATTCTACCCTCTTATTTAGATAATTGTGTATCTTGTTAGTAAGGCATTATGTGTTAATATTAATAGTTGTAGTCTTGGCAAGAAATAGCCTAGGTGCTGGGTTGGCCCGGGTGCTGGGGGTTTACGTTAGTAAAAAGATTTTTAAAATTCCTATTATTTAAGGTTCTTATTTTTTTAACTAACCTAAACTATCACCGAGTGTCCCACATCACCAAGTGTCCCAAAACTTGCCAAGCCCTCTACCTACTCTCTCTCTCTAACATGCCTCAACTACCAAACGCGTTATTACTTGAACATGAAGGGAGGCTTCAGCTTGCTATTAAAGCCTTGAAATCTAGACAATTCTAAAGCCACCAGGCTGCTGCAGAGGCATTTAACGTTGATCGCCGTACACTCTCTTATTGCGTCTAAGGACTCACATTTTGCGCAGAAGCTGCCCCTAACTGCCAGAAGCTCACTGCGACTAAACAGCAGACGATTATCTAATACATACTCAACCTCGACTTGCAAGGATTTGCGCCCTAGCTGTGCAAGGTGGCAGATATAGCTGATAAACTGCTGGCTGTACGCAGTGGCAAGCCTATTGGCAAGTGCTGGGCTGATTGCTTTATAACGCGCTCGCCTAAGCTTAAAATAGCCTTTAATTAAGCAAAGGATAGGCAGAGAATACTCTAGGAGGATCTAGAGATAATTAGCGCGTGGTTTAAGCTAGTAGAGGAGACTAAAGCTAAGTATAGTGTCTATAATAACAACGTGCACAACTTTAATAAGACTAGCTTCTAGATAGGCGTAATTAGCTCTATAAAGGTTGTCACAGGTGCAGAGAGACGCGCCCAACCTGCGCTTGTTCAGCCAGGCGATCGCGAGTGGGTTACAGTTATCCAGAGCATCTGCGCTGCTGGGTACGCGACCCCGCCCTTCATCATCTACAAGGGACGCGTCCACATCTCTGCCTAGTATAAGGAGGCTTTAATACTACGTAATTAGAAGCTCTTAGTCTCTAAGAACAGCTAGACAAATAACACACTTAGTCTAGAGTGGTTAAAGCACTTTAACGCGCATACAAAGACGCGCTAGGTAGGGGGGTACTAGCTGCTTATTTTAGACAGCTATAAGAGCCACCTTAACTAGCATTTTAAGGACTACTGCCTTAAACACAAGATCCTAACCCTCTGTATGCCCCCCCATTCATCGCACATCCTCCAGCCGCTTGATGTGGTCTGCTTCTCGCTGCTGAAGCGCAGGTACTCCCAGCGCGTTAGAGACTTGGCACGCCAACGCGTCTTCCATATTAACAAAGAAGGCTTCCTCCCTGCCTTTAAGGACATGTTTTTTAACATGTTTATAGAGCAGAACTGTTAAAAGGCTTTTAAGACAGCAGGGCTAGTCCTAATTAACACACAGGTTGTATTAGATTACCTTAAAGTACAGCTACGTACCCTGCTAGAACCCCTCCTCCTAGAGACGCTATAGCAGTTAAAGACTCTAAGCAATACCTATAAGTTTAGATCTTAATTAAAGCTTATACGCGATGCCTTTACTTGCTTGCCTGTTACAGCTTAGGCTAGTTTCTCCCAGCTTATAAAAGGTAGTAAGCTGATGCTGCATAAAAATGCGCTTTAATGTGCTCAGATCCATGAGCTTGAAGAGCAGTTAGCAGAGATGACCAAGCGAAAATCGCGTAAGCGCAAGCAGATTCAGCAGGGTGGTACTATAGAGTATGGGACTGCTGCAGCGCAGGTAGCTGCTGAGGCATCTATAGCGCCTCAGCGATCTAAGAAGGCTTGTGGTGGTAGTGGTTAAGAACTAGCCTAACTAGCTCTTCAGCGCTGTAGGAACTGTGGTAGGACTAGGCACAATGCGCGAACGTGCAAAAAGGATATAGAGGTGTCCTTAGAATTAGATGCTAGTACAACGTACGCAGGCTCCCTGTTTAATAGTAATAAAATTAAGGAGTTGTAGCATAGGTTAAGGCTGCCAAGAGATTTTAGGACACTTGGTGATGTAGGACACTTGGTGATAGTTTAGGTTAGTACACTGAGAAATTTTAAACGTTAGTAATAAACTTAGATATTAAAATAAGTAACGTACTCTATCACCGAGCTGGTTATATCACTAAACCAGTCACTTAAAATCCCACCAAAAAACACAGAAACCATACCCCTACATCTTAATAACTACTTAATAGAATCTTCTAAAAACTTCAGAATAGAGCTGTATCTATACTAATAAAACTATTTAAAAGTCTTAGACTAATAGCTAGTATAGATGTTAAGATAGCCTGCAGCTACCCCTGTATTTTAGTATCTTCTAAACAATATCTGCAATATAGGGCTAAGCACTCTAAGACTTTTAAACAGTCTTATTAGTATAGATACAGCTCTATTCTAAAGTTTTTAGAAGATTCTATAAAGTAGTTATTAAGATGCAGGGGTATAGTTTCTGTGTTTTTTGGTAGGATTTTAAGTGACTAGTTTGGTGATATGACTGGCTCGGTGATAGAGTACGTTAAAGTAACTAGTGTAGCAGCTTTAATATTAGTATTGAAATCCTCTTAATTTCTTATCTAGTTCTTTAGATATACTATAATTCTTAAAAAAAGTACCTAAGTTTCTTAAAAAGTAGAGTATCTAGAGAACTAGATAAGAAATAAAAACGATTTTAATACTAATATTAAAGCTACTATACTAGTTACTGTACTAAATTTCAATATTTAAGTTTATTACTAAGGTTTAAAATTTCTTAGTCTAAGACCGTACTAAACCTCACCGTATTATGGCCCAGAACACCACACTCTAGCGCTGCAAGGTGTAGTACAGCTTAGAATATTATTTAGAGACTACTTCTGCATTATTCTTGCACATCCGCGCGTTGTGCCTAGTCTAATTGCACCATCTACAGCGTTGTTAGGAGGGCTTACCTACTTTAGCGCGCACCTGCTTCTTTAACTTCTTTCTATTACTATATGCCCTAAACTCCTTTAGAGCTGCTATCTGCTGCACTTCCTTAACTATAAGGGTCCCTTCCTTCTAGATTTGCTTTCTTTTGCGCGATTTACGTTCTGTGGCAGCTACTAGAGCTGCGTGAAGCTCAGCGTTCTCCTGTTGCGCTAAAACTAGCTTGTGCAATAGAATTGCTCCCCCCTTTGCGTAGTGCTTAAATAAGTGTAGAGGTATATATATAGTAATAATCTTGTTATCCTTATAGTATTCCTAGAAATCTAGTAAGCTATAGCTCTTGTAACTATTAATAAGTAGCAGATAGTAGCTACTAACAGTACACTCCTTTGTATGCGTGTTAAAGTGCTTTAACTAGTTAAGATTAAGTTTGTTAGTAGTCTAGCTGTTCTTAGAGACCCTAATAACCTAATTATAGGGCAGATTATCCTCTTTATACTAGTTTAAGAGGGAGTTGTGGCCCTAGAAGTAGACTGGCGGATGGGTACCATGTACCTAGGGTTAGATATAGGTAGGGTATAGGTCGCACGGACG